CATATTCAGTCTCGTTTTGAGAACGGGTTATATTGAAGACAGTGTATTAGTGAACGCTTTAGAACATGGCACTGGTGTTCATTTTAACTGCCTGAAATGCATGCAATCCAAAAACAAAAAGTCCACAATGTTTAGGCCTTGTACAAACATACCGAGAATTTAGCAATGCTTTTCTTTCCACATTCCACTTCAAATGGAGGGCTTCCAAATCAACGGCTTGGAACCAGAGAGGTAAATGACATGTGACAAATTTCACAGAAGAGCAAAAACCAATGTCAGCCACACTTTGGCCACTCTGTGTTTATCAACATTCATCCTAAACATCAGAACTACTTTCATGTTTGAATGAAAACAATGTTTTGACATTAGATAGACGTTCTCAAGAGCTTTAATTTGATACGTGTAACTAGTTCATGGTCCGAGATCTCACTTACGCCATTCTGGTTCCAAGCCTTCCGTATTTAAAAAAATAGAATGAGTTAAAATATAAAATGAATGAAACTATTCATTAAAATATTAATATATGCAATAGACTGTAGCTCGAAGCGTGCTGTTGTTCTCTTGTTCTGACCGCGGATTATAATCCACGCCAGACACATGTTAATTTACAAAACAAATATTATTTATAATCTGATTAAATAAAATGTGTTGTGAGTTAAAATACGCCGTACTATGTTATAATATGTAAACAAACGTCAACGTACGTAAAACGTCGATCTAATAATCATTGTGAACGCTATTTTCTATTATTTAAGCCTGTTTTTGCGTTATTATAAAGTTGTGACACAGGATTTTCTGTGATTATGTATTTTAAATTGTAATATATCTGTAGAGTTCATTTTACATTGTTGTTTAAATGTTTTGGTCATTGTAATCCGTGACGTCTTGCATACTTTTGTTTGGCTTTGGAGATTTAATTCCACAGAAGAAAAGATATTGCGGTCATTTTTTATTCTCTATATAAGAATACTGAGTTGTTCATTTAGTTGGAAGTCAGCTGAATCATTGGCGAAGATTATTATCATTATCAAGATTACCAAGATACCACCGTGTAATTCAAGTTCAAAAGTAAGATATAACAAAGGAACAGCATTAAAGAGCAAAATCTATCTCAGATATTCTAATGTTTATAATTTTGTGCATAAACATTAACAAAATAAACGTTGCATTTTTAACTGACTTTGTAGCATGAGAATACAAGACAGCTGACTACAATGTAGAATTCCTTAAGCTTCCACGTGATGAATTTATGCTGTAAAATATTCTGTAAATGTTGAAAAAAATTGGAATAATCTATAGGACTACCTAATCTTCTGAGAGATTAGTTTATCCTATAGACTATTTTATTAATTTTCTAAAAGATCTATGGGATTGGCCGATGCTCGTTTGTTCATACATTTTTCTCTTTCCTTTATTATTATAATTAATTTTTGGTTAAGTAGCAGCCCTACTAAATTCGTCTTTTCCAAAATTAAGAGACCATCTGAGCATATTGCAAACTATATAATGTATTTAGGGTGTAATCCATTCTGAGTATTTTCCATTTTATAGTCTTATTTTCGGCTTGTGATGAATACAGTCGTATGTTTTGTCCAATTTCTAAGGGAGAGGTAACACATCTTCTACAAGGAGGCTAAATGTGGCAAGTTACTGATAATTTTATTGGACAATTTCTATTTATTTGTTGGAAAAAAGGTATAAACATTTTATATTTTAATCGTGCAATTGTCCATTAAAATGTCCAGTAGTGTGTTCTTTGTAGAGAATGTGTACTTTTTATACTTAGAAAATCAACAAAGAATGTCAATTGACCAGGGCCGCCCTAACTTTTACATACTATATGAAAGTTTTAGGAAGCTTGCGAACAATAGATGGCGTTTAGTACAGAAATTGATATGCAGAGAAAAGAAAAGTAAACGGGCTGTGTTGGTGGCAATGTATAATTTTACCATGAAACATGAACTGGTAGTGCATAAAAATGCCCAATGAATGTCTCTAATATTTTTTCAGGTGGGAATCAGTCCGTTTATTTCGCACAATATGAGGAGCCATGACAAAAGCAGAAAAGCTTAGAACTAAACTGCAGCACTGTCCAGCGTCTAGATAGGCTTGCTGTTTTGCCCACCAAATGTTTTGCCCACAAATGCGTAAAATTTAGAAAATATGGAAATATTTGGAAATATTGAGGAAGTATTTGAACCCTCATGGTTCTAAAGCGTGTATCTTCACCATCATGCATTCTCCATTCTGCAAATTTGTCAGTCCTCTACCTGGTGCTCTCCTGTGTCTCCTTTTTATGTGTCTGTATTGCTTTTTTATATTTCCGAGCGTCGTGTTCACTTTCCTTTCCTTCCCATTTCCTAAGGAGTGCCGTGAAGATTTCCACTGAAAAGAGTTCATGAGGAAGTTCTGATGGCTGGAAGCTCATCCGGGGTATAGACCGTGGATTTGTATGGCGTCTGCAGTCTCTTCTGCAGTCTTACGCCGCGGGTGACTCGTCCCCCTCCCCCGAACTTGAAGTCGACCGCACAGCGAAGGCTGCAGTGGCCACATGAGGGGGTTAGGCTAGCAGCAGACGTCCTGGCGCAAGAGAAACGGTAGAAGAACATACTCAGACTTAACAGCCCATTAAGGTACCACATGGCTTTTCCTCATCGATTACAAAAAAGCTAAAATTACTGATATCCGTTATCATCCGTAAAACCTCAAGCAAAGCATTTGCGTCCACAAGACAGTCAAGACAGTTTATGTTCCATCACGTTTTCGGAGGCCGAAACTTACCTGGATTGTGAACAATGGGGCAGAACAGACTCTTGCTTTATTATTACACATGTTATAGATTCTTTGTGGTTTTGTGATGTCAGTGGCTACGTGCTGAGATGTGTGTTTATTTCTGTGTGCATGTGTGTGTGTGTGTGTTATATCTCCATTACGCCTGGCCACCTCCGTCCTGTTTGCTGTGTTAAAATGGCAAAGCAGCCCACCATACAACCAAAGGTAGAGAGAAAAAGCGCAGTTAAGATTCACGTCTGTCCCTGTCCCCTGTGTTTCCGTGGCACCCGGGCCCCAATTACTGCCGAAAGCTTTCCAACACACGGCGCGGAATTTGTCAGAAGTTGACGAAGAGGCGGAGCGTGTGGTCTCTGGACCACCGTTTTGTTTTCCCGTCGCTATTTTGCAGGCAAATGTCACTCCACCGCCAGGACGACGCTGAACCCGGATTACAGCGACAAGGACGACTTTGAAATCAGTTCCGTTGCGCCAACTCTTACAGCTCGCTGGCTTGTGCTTTATGAAGCTCGAGTTACTCAGTCGTCGTGTGCGTTCTGGCTAGACGTGCTCCATGCACGGGAATTAAGACACGGTGTGGCGGGGGCGATGTGGGGTCCTCCAGAGCCTAATCGTGCTTTAGCACTTACGGTCACACCAAATTATCCTCAGACCCTCGTCAGCATTGCCAAGACCAACGTCACTCAGACAATGAGAACTATTGGTTAAGCAATCCAGGGGGAAGTTATTTCAAATAAAAATGACATCTTCAGATTTTATTCTGAGGCTAGTGTCTTAAAACCCTTCCATGCATGGTGAACAGTTCTGTTACTTTTAATATGGGTGATACGGTTTTACAAAAAATGTATTAAAATTTAAAAAAATACATGAAAGGGTTAAGCCTTTGGTAAACTAGGCCAGCTTGTTTTATTTGTAGTAATTTGTTTACTTAAGCTTTTTTAAAATATCAGTGCAGTCTACAACATTTGTTTAAATAGAGATGTTTGTTGTTCATAAACACTAAGCTAAGTGACGAGCATAAGTAACGGCTCAAATTTTGCAGATTCAATTACCGAATTCTATGTTCGGATTATTTTCAGACAGGGCGATTCTATTACTGCAAACCTATAAAGAGACGAACATGTCCTGTTCAAGTTTAATTTAAATGTAATTCAATTTAATTAAATGGTATGTGTCAACACATTCCATAAAAAATATAAAACAAAAACTCTAATAACGGTCTTGTAATTAAATTCACTGTTCGGTAGACTTTTTTTGAAATATGGATGAGTTATTTGGGAAAAATAGCCAAACTTTCAAAACAAATGGGGGCTGTTTATACACATGCAAAGTGAGCAACCTGGTAAAGGAAGTCACAAACAACATTTGGCACCGAGCAGTCTGAACATCAAGGTAGTCTTCTGGACGAAGGTCACCACAGCCACATTGACACTGACGTTCCTCTGTGTGCAGATGCCTTTTGGTGTGCAATAGCAGGCACTGATTGTTTCCAGATTTCCCCAAAGTAATGTAAAGGCTTATATCGACATCGTTCAGTGACAGCTGTGAAATCTCAAAAACATCTTCTCATGATTTTGACATATTACCTTCACACGCTGAACCCCCACTGCCTTATGCTGATGGCATTTATTCTACTGTTTTGTGTGCAGTCCTGCATTGTCACACAGGCACCAACGAAAACTGTGCTTTTTCCTTTTTCACGTGAACACAATTTGTCCACATGCACTTAAACATATACAGTATTTGAATCTTCACAAAAAGGCCAATTGTGCGAAAGGGACGTGACTCAGGAATTAGCAATTGGTTTGTTAGTTTCATGCCGTTAAACCTGAGCTAGTCTCACAAAATTATCGTCTGGAAGACTAGGAGATTCCTAGTTAAGGTCACTCAGGAATGATCTGGACAGACAGTCCTTGCATGACATTGCTTTTGTTTTTTGGTCTGTTACGGGGACATGGGCATACTTGACATGGCCTTGGCATTGATTGTGCTAGTTGCAAGGTAACAATGTTGTGTTTATGTTGTTTAGATGGGGATAAACATGTCTTTTGCTATAATCTCAAGCTCGCTGTAGTGTGGAGCGCAGCGGTTAACCCGCAGCTACCAGCATACAAGCCTATATGCGTCTCACTCACTAAAACCGAGCGCGCGCGCACATGTACACTCACGCGCACACACGGAGTGTGTGTGTGTGTGTGTGTGTGTGTGTGTGTGTGTGTGTGTGAGGGAGAGAGAGAGAGCGAGAGAGAGAGAGAGAGGAAAAGCGAGTGAGGGAGAAAAAAGAAATCTGTCAATTTCTGATGTGGGTCACGTGACCGTGGCCTCCCTTGGAATGGATGGAGATGAATTTCCACGTCAGCCTACGTCTCAAAATTTCTGCCTTGCGGACGCGGCTTCAAAGGGAGGGCGAGAGGAGCGCGCGCGCTCGCGAGCCATGTTGAGGACGCTGGGCACGGCTCTCGCTAGCCCGAGCTAGGAAAACAACACCCCCCTTGCCCCAAATCCCAAATAATGGATTTCGACGAGAGGGTCCCCGTCAGTTCCAACATGTATCTGCCCAGCTGTACGTACTACGTCCCGGGAGCAGACTTCCCCACGCTGCCCTCCTTCCTCTCGCAAAGCCCGTCTTCTCGCCCCGTCCCATACTCCTACTCGTCCAACCTGCCGCAGGTCCAGCCCGTGAGGGAGGTGACGTTCCGGGACTACGCAGCGTTTGACGCGTCCGGGAAGTGGCCTCACCGGGCGCCGCTGGCTCAGTGCTACCCGGCGGAGGACGTGGTACACCGGGAATGCTTGCCAGCCTCGACGGGAGTCGGGGAAATGCTAGCGAAGAACACCTCGGCCGTGTACCACCACCACTCTACGTCGGGCTCAAGCGCGTCGTCGTCGACCTTCTATGGGAGCATAGGGAGGAACGGCGTGCTCCCGCAAGCCTTCGACCAGTTCTTCGACACCGCCTACGGAAACCTGGAGAACGCGCCCAGCTACGAGTTCACTACGGCGGACAAGCAGCAGCAGCAGCAGTCCAGCAAGCAGCAGACGGCCGCGCCCGCGCCGGACCACGATACGGAGGGGAAGGAGCGAGGCGAGACCAGCAGCCCCGAGTCCTCTTCCGGCAACAACGAGGAAAAGAGGAGCGAAGCGAGCAGTAAGTAGAAGCGCAGCGCGACCCTGTCATGAGAGAAAGTTTGCAATCTTGCGCGCTGCTGTTAAAATTTTTATATGCTGTTTTATAAGCGTATAAGGTTTATTGAGGGCTTGAGATTTCCCCAACAAAACGTACTTATAAACTGTGTGAGAATCACGTGCTTGGAATTGAAATTGGCCATGAAATACTCCAGGCCAGAGCATTTTTTTTCTTTACTTGAACTTTTAAAAACGCTCTTTCTCCGTGCTAGTGGTCAAAGTAAGCAGCTTCTCGTATGACTCTGTAAAATTATAAATGCTGCTTTCACGGGTTATTGACGTTAAAAAGCCCTTGTGGGTGTGTGAGAGCGTGTGTGAAGAGTGCGCACACTGGGCTGGGTGTGCTAAGGTACCCAGCAAGTATTTTATCCAGATTGTGTTGTTGTATATTTACAAATGTTTTGTTGGGGTGAACTGCGTATTTGTACACAAACCTTTAGTGGTTGTACATTTTATATCCGAGGCAAATTTTCTATACATTTAATGTCCAAATAATTGCAAGCCAATTTAATAGTGCTATAAATTCTATATTCTATAAACCAGAAATGTACTAATTGTGTAATGTTGTATAATGGCATGCGCAAATTTAGCTGCTGCTGAGTTGAACTGTGTATTTGTATTCAATCCTTTTGTGTTTTGCACATTACATGTGCAAGGTTGCTTTTATACATAGCTAATGTATAAATAATAGCAGGCGAACATGACAGGACTATTAATTCTTTATTCTATAAACCAGAATTGTACAAATTGTGTAATCTTGTATGTTAGCATGCACAAATTTAGCCATTGCTGTGTTGAACTGCGTATTTGTATTCAATCCTTTTGTGTTTTTCACATTACATATGCAAGGTTGCTTTTATATACAGTTAATGTACAAATAATAGCAGGCGAATATGATAACACTATTATTTTTTTATTCTATGAACCAGAATTTTACAGATTGTGAAATTAATATGCATAGATTTATCTGGGAATGTTTCATTGGTGTTCTTTTGAACGAGGCATTTGCATACAAGCCTTTGATCCTTTGTACATTTTATTCGTGATTACAGCTTGTGTTCAAATAAGAGCAAGCTAGTTTATTAGTACTATAAATTCTATAATACATAAATCAGATATTTTACAGACAAAATAAAAAAAATGCTGGTGAAAGATTCATAACAGGGACAAGTTCTTATAAGATTTGGACTTACAAAAGGAGACAACATTATACACATTAATATTGTTTTTAAAGCTTAAATACCAACTATATATGATTAAATATACCACAGAAGTGAGTAAACATTGCCAACATCGCAGCAATATAGTGCTTTGATGTTTCTTAACGCTCAACGCATTGTCAGAGCCATCGCAAGGAAAACAAAGCATATGTTTCATCTTGTAATCTTCTATGTGGCTTCCAGATGCACCCAGAGTTCGGAAGAAGAGATGCCCCTACACCAAATATCAGATCCGCGAGCTGGAGAGGGAGTTCTTCTTCAGTGTGTACATCAACAAAGAGAAAAGGCTCCAGCTCTCCCGAATGCTCAACCTGACCGACCGTCAAGTCAAAATCTGGTTTCAGAACAGACGCATGAAAGAGAAGAAGCTGAACCGGGACCGTTTACAGTACTACACCACGAACCCTTTGCTATAGGACAGCGGGACAACATGCACAACTGCTGCAATAACACGCGCATTAACAATGAGGCGATAACGATGTTCAGCGGTTAATTTCAAGTTCGAGGCGGGCAGCGTTCGCTTTGACTTGATGCAATGACAGTGAGCATGAGCCACGTCGACTACGGGTTATTTAGTGAATGCATATGTTTGCTCGTAAGGTATTTCTTTATGCGCAGCCGAATAAATACATGAATAAGTAAATAAATGTTTGAAAAGCTCGGAACGCACAGCCGCCTCGAACATAGCAATTGTGTTGGAACCCAATACAGAGTTTGTGGTCTAATTTAATTTCCTGTTTTTCTGATTAAAATTTTCTTGCTTGAAAAATTGAAAAATTGAAAGTCATTGATAGACAGTGTTACATCAATCTGGAATCACGCGTGGAATTACATGATAGTCCTTGAGGCTGAAGACTTTGTGTGACCAAGTAGGAAGCCACACGAGAAACGTGATCTTGACTTCTCTGGGCTTGCAATGCTATTTATTGATTACTCCACTATTGTGGTGACGTTTCGACTTCCATATGCATAATTACTGAGGCAACTCATAAAGCAATAACACTTCTAAAGCACGCTCACAGCTGCACTTGAGTCGTTACTATTCCAGCGCACTGTGAAAATGTGCTTGTCTTCAAATATAAACTCTGCAAAGGCAACAAAGGTGACGCAAATAAAACTAACAAGAGACGTTTGATCGAGAGGAGAAAAGACTGACTATTCTCACCAAAGCAATGACCAGAGAGCCTGCTTTTATGAACTGCTTTTTGGAGAGGCCTGAAGGAAAAGAGGAATGTCCTCTTCATTGCAGCTGGCCAAGGGCCTACTTTACGAAATCACCTTTTCACCCAAAGAGGAAGGATTCTTTTTCACGGTTTACATATCCACGTTTTCTGTACCGCATAGAAACGTGAAGGACATTTAATTTTTTTTTTTTTTAATGGACAAGACTGAACGCCACTGCTTGTAACGCCATGTATCATATATTTCCAGAAAAAAAAAAACAATTAAACAATTATGAGAAGTATTAAGGGTGTATTTGTGGCCCACCGTTTGCTGAATAAATGTATAATTTCATTTCTTCACCTCAGAAAATGTTCAGAACTGAGGTTGCAAAACATTTACAACTTGGACTTAAAATGGACTTAAGTTCAAAAATGGAAGCCCTTGCACTTGATTAGTGACGTGTAAGTTGTAGTGAAAAATCACAAGAGCTTTTTAAAAATGTGTAAATAAACTATTGTTATTGTTGTACGTTCTATTTACAGCTATTGGTGCTTTTATTTGTTTCCTTTCCTTCGCACTCTCCTCAGGTTTAATCTTAATTATGCTGGTCACTGTTGATGTTTTGGTTGATGTTCTGCACACTCCACTGACTTCGAACTTCTTTTTTTTAAGATTTCCGAGATCAGAGTCTCCAGCTCACCTTGCCGTTTGTGATTTCTCCCAATATGGAAATGAATCAGAAGTGTTTTCAGCAGAATATGTCTTCACCTGAGAGTTTTACTGTTGCAGTGACCGCATTTCCGCGTTTGCTGTTATTTTCTGAGTTTATGACCGCAGCCGTACAGCCGTAGGGTTCATGTATGACAATCAGGAGAGAGAGAATGAAGTTTATGGTTACGCGTGGTGGAACGGTTAGGCCTGGCTGGCGCATCCTTTGAGGCGCTGAGGAATCTCGGCCTAATTACTGGGACATCCTCCCTGTTCCTGCAGCAACGCGGCCATAAAAGCTGTCTGCGTCTGGAGCATTTGGACGATTGCAGTGCGGTGCCATAAACTGTCTCAGAACCAAGGTTATTAGCTGCGTTTCCAAGGTGGCGGGGGGGAGAGAAGAAGACAAGAAACAACGGGTGTCGACGCGGTGCTTGTGCTCTTCCCGTCAAATCCTACTTCATTTATCATCGCTCGTTTCTCTGATCGAGCGTTTTGCTCGGTGTTATACGCTTTTCTTTTCGTTTTTCCACAAAGACTGGCAGTCAGAAGTGACAGCTGCTTCAGGGTGAGTGCTGGGTGTCCACTGGGCGGCGCTCTTGAGATCAATGTCATGGCCGAGGAGGATCATGTATGGTCGAGCAGAAGCCTAAACACTTTTGAGGTCTGTAAGCGCAGGTAAACACCAACAAAAAGTTTGTGCTTTTATCTAATAATTCTGGCTGAATTCACTCGTGTTGGTAGTAGCAACCAGGTCACGCACATTTTATAACTTCCTGAGCCAATATGGTGGACTTGGTGGACTAGGATTCTGAATAATACCGCCGAAGGGGGCTTTAGGGTCGAAGGCCACTGCCATTAAACAATATCAAATGCAATGCAGGTGTGTGTGTGAATCTAACACGCTTGTTTTAAAATCATCTGCCAATGAAATATTTCATGCAATTAACTTTCTCGCCCCAGAACGCACATAAACCTTCTTCTGTTCTTAATAGATTAAATAAAAGGGTGTAAAGATATGGTGCCCATTAAAGTCCCACTTTTACCACCGAATCAAATATTTCACAGCAAATGAGCTATGCTTTAGCCTTCTCCGATTAGAAAAATCCATTAAGCACGAGGCAGCCTAGGCCTTTTTTCACCACATCTATGAACAAAATTTATGAGATTCATTTTTTTAAATGATCAGTAATGTAGCTGGACCTAAATTATGGCCAACTGGATTCATTGTGACCTTAGCAGTCACGACCATCGTTCATTCAGTCCTGGTTTGGACGCAGTTTTGGCTAGCAGTGTCTGGAATTTTTCCAAAGGCTATTTGTTTCTTTCTTCCTCCATTTTCAAGCATGAATGATGTCATTTGAAATGTAGATTGTAGCTGTGCAACACGATCGGCTCTTTCCGCAAGAGCGATTCGGCGACAACATGGAGGGGCGAGAGCAGACAGAGGGGCAAGAGGGGTCCTGTTACCGTGCACGTGGAGTCTTTGTCTCTCGTGAAAAATAAATGCCTCCACTGCTCGAAGTAAAATGCTAAATTATTGTTTACGATTTCCGTTAACAGCGAACTCGATTCGGGGCAGAGAAAGGAGCTCGGCTCGGGTTTCACCGCGTCTGATAGCCGCTGACCTCCGGAAATAATACACAAAACTATTCGTTAAACAGCTGTGATAAAGCACATTATTATCGTGAATTATTCTAAAATTAGAAAAAAATGTGTTTGTGTGGACGCATATTTTTGTATTTGTATTTCCCACGTGTTTATGCTTTATTGACATTTTTTAGTGATGATAATAATAATAATTTCAATAGAACAACAACAACAACTATTAATACTGCTATTGTTATTGTTATTATTATTGCATGTAATATGTGTATAATTATAATTGTTATTACACAAAACATGTCTTTGCAATCCTTTTAGACACTACGATGTAATGATAATTGTAGGATGTTGAATAAAAAAGCATATATGTGCAAATAGTTACACATTATTATTATTATTATTATTATTATTATTATTATTGTTGTTGTTGTTATTATTAGCAGTAGTAGTAGTAGTGTTTATTATTATTATTATTATTATTATTATTATTATTATTATTAATGCCTTTTAGCACATATTGACGCGATGCGGCCTTGTTCATCATGACGCAATTACTTGGCCAATTAGACTACGGTATTTTCTTATTGTAAATATACACAATTCCAAATCATTCATAGTAATTTGCACCCGAGAGCTCTTAACTTGAAATAAAACAGAGTAATGTACACAGTTAACAGTGAGGTTAATGGGGTACAGTTTACGAGCTAATACACATGTAGGCCTGAGCAATAACTTTAGACCTTTATGGGGTACAGTTTTCAGATTAGCTCTTAATAAGTCATCAGTTTGTTTGAGTAATAATACGCGAGTAATAACGCACGTTTGTTTGAGACCTATTGCAGAAACAATACTGTTATTAATAAATATTTAGGTTTTTCAGATGTACCGTAGCACAAAGATTATCCTCGGTGATGATCTCACAGTTAAGTGTTCTTTTTAATAATCAGCTCACTTTAACTGCAGCATGTTTTAGATCTTAGGAAGCAGTCTACCCTGTAGGCCATTGTTGTATATGACTTGTGAAAATCGTCCTTTTGGGGTCTACTTCTAATTCGGGGTTGATTAGTGATTAAGCTCTTCCTAAGAAAGGCCGTTTAGCTCTAGAATCACTGCAGCAGACATTTACACCACGACTCTTTCTTAGTGTTTTGCGGTAGGCTGTAATTTATAGTTGGCTTCCATTGTACACTGTATCCCCTACTTATCCTCATTAGGAGATATTTTACGCCCTTCTATTTGTTACACAACGTTTTCACATTTTACAAGACTGAACATGTCTGTTCGCTGGTGATTTGTCTTCGGGTGGAGCAAACTCGGCAAACTTTTAACCGCAGGTAGCGAAACCTTTTCTCGTTCCGCGTGTTACGGATAACTTTCTCCATCGGTTTTGTGCGCATGTGCATTTCCAAACACCCTCTCTCTCTCTCTCCCACACACACACACACACACACACAGACACATTCACACACACACACACACACGCTATTAACCGCAGGTGAAGAAGGCTTTTTCCGCATAACTCCCAGTTTTGTCCTGTGGCTGTGCACTTACAGACACCAAAAAATAAAATTGAAAATGAAATTTAAATGAGGTGATAATCGGCTGTACGTGGATAAAACATACTGCTGTATTTCAGTACTTCCTTTGGTAAGAATATCGTGGATAGAATCATGTTAACACGTTTCGTTCATGTGCAACTGATTGACACACTTGAATCATCTGAACTCAAAGCAGAGTTTCTTCCCTGAAAGAAGAAAGACAGGATCAAAAGAAGTCGGTACGTCATCTGCTCCAGCCCAGACTTGGTCTCGAGCCTGCGGGCGACGTAGCTCCGCTGGGGGCGTGGCCCTGTGTGTTTGTGCGCTTCCACTAGCTCAGGAGTGCACACAGGAATTCTCGAAGACGGCTCATCTTCTCCAGCATGTTCGGCGCTCAAGATGACCAGCAGAGAGGACTCTCACTTCCCCTCGCTAAAGAGGACACCTGTGATGGCGTGCGCCAACGGCCCGGTAAGTCACGACCACCTTGTGCGCTCTGAACCCAGCGACAGCACTGCGGCCCAGTACAGGGACTGCAGAGCTAACCCTGAGCATTACACGCACCCAAACTGCGGCTTCTATTCTGGTCCCAGCAAGCGTCCAGAATGTGATGACGTGGTTCCCGGTCAAGGCGCGTCCATTGCCAGCGCGGAGATCTGCATGGACGCGCAGAGGTCCTGCCGAATTCTCCCGTCCGCAACCCATCAGCAGGATGCCATGTCTTCTTGCTTCTCTCCGAACATCAAACAGGAGAGCTCGTGTTACCTCTACGAGCCGCTGAAGAGCTCTGCGACTCCAGATCCCTGCGTGGAGGACTTCTCTAACGCACGCTTTGCTTCAGGATCCTACGTAGTCAGCAGTAATGACAGTAGATCGGTTCCCGTTCCAGGCTACTTCCGGCTGTCTCAGATACATCCACATGCCAAGATTTATCACTACAGCGCGCAGACCCAAACGGGTCATCAAACTCTGCTTCCGGTGACGGCTTCAGGTGTTTCTCATTTTGATCTCTCACTGTCCAACTCGGAGCAAGCGCTTGAACAAAGACCTGGAGATGTCGCGGAGTCTCCCAGGAGCAGAGATAAGGAGTCTCCCGCCCACAGCGACAAGGAGGAGACCCAGGAGACCACTGACGAGGGTCTGTCATCTCCCGAGCACCCAGAAACCCCCAGAGAGTGTCCGGGAAAGAATGGTAAAGGTGAGCCCAACAGATACCCAACGGAGCTCTTCAAAATGAAAGTCAGTTTTGCACTGAAAAACGTGAGTGATTAGTAGCTGGCATTAGCTAAGACCTAGAGGGTCTATTAAAAGAGTAAAAATGATAAGCATTTGCATTTGAGTAAATACAGCAATAAGACGTCGACTTCATATTTTCGTGTTTGCAAACTGTTGATAATCAACAGAAGCCTTTACATGCAGAAATTGTTCATTTATGTGACGTATAGCTATAATCTTTTCCATCTTATCATTGGATGTAGCCAGTTATGCATCAATTTGCATAGCTAAAAGCATACTTTGGGAAACCTTGGTTTAAATGCGCTTAGGCCTAGTCCTCGAATCGTATGCATTCACACAAATGATCAAAGCACAGAACTTTATTTCTATGGAAATAGGGAAATATATTAGCCGTAAACATGGTACAATGAAAAGACCTACCGAAGTATGACCAGCTAGCTTATTTATATATATAATAATAAATAAATAGAATAACAGAAAGGTTAACAGTAAGTTAAAGTAAAGTACGTATATATTTTCTATTCTTTTTTTCTCTTCTGAACTCAGAATAATCATCTTTTGTAGAAACATCTAATTAATTTCATGTGTAAATAATCACTTGGGTTTTAGACACTCCACGTGTTATTTTTTCCACATATGAGCTTTTACTTGTCGCTGTTGTCTGAACAAAACCTCGCATCTCCAAAATGAAAACTTTACAGGAGAAGAAGAAAATGTCATGTCATTTTTTACCATTTCTTTTGGTCCATTCAGCATGACATTTACACAAAATGTAAAGGGCATCCGGCATTTTCAAATTCTGTCAAAAACTGAAAAACGACAAAAATTGAGATACGAGGTTTTGTTCCAACAGCAGCGGTATATGCAATTTTCATACAACATGATTCTATATTTCTATGATTTTAAAACAAATTTCCTACACATACAACTGGTAAATGATCCTTTTTGCAATTCCAGGCTATAATATGTTGGCACGTGTAATCACATGTTGCGCTGTATTTATGTGACACTTCATGAAGGATCATATGTGAAATACTTTGACGCATTTTTACTAGTGACTAAACCACTGAAAAAAAAGGTTCTTGATGAAAATGTGTCACGTGCTTGCACACAAATAACATAAGTTATATCAGCACAAGTTTGCTTCTTTAGGCAACAATTGTGTCCTAACATATTTCAAACGTGCAACAACTTGAAGAATTTCAATCATGTAAATTCAAAGCATTTTTTCAGGGTATAACCTGCTATTAAACTAGCTTAATGGAGACCATTCTTACACACACACACACACACACGCACACACTTCAGCACTCGCTTGCACATTAACAATCAATATAAGCAGAAATAAAAAAGTACTGTCCAGTCCTGTATCAATATGCTTTTCTCACGCAGGAGACTCTAAAACAGTGAACACGTCCAACTGGCTGACTGCGAAGAGTGACCGGAAGAAGCGCTGCCCCTACACGAAGCACCAAACGCTGGAGCTGGAGAAGGAATTCCTCTTCAATATGTACCTTACTCGCGAGCGCCGCCTAGAGATCAGCCGCAGCGTGCACCTGACCGACAGGCAAGTTAAAATCTGGTTCCAGAATCGGCGCATGAAACTGAAGAAAATGAGCCGCGAGAATCGAATCCGCGAACTTTCCCAAACTTACGGCTTCTCCTCTTGACACGAATTTCTCCAGCCTCCATATTTCTGAACGGCACTGTTTATATTTGCGGCATGCCTCGTGTATTCTTCTGTGTAAGCTACTGACGACATGAATGTGTTTTGGGGGTTAGTCGCTTGCTTTTATGTCTGTGTGAGTCTACAGTCTCTTTTCTTTATGATAAATATTTATCAAACCACATTCAAGGTACAAGGTACATTTGAAAAGATGCGTCTTACTTTATCGTCAAATGTCACGCGCTAGGAGACAAAGGACCGTTTTGATGGGCTTTAAATGCAGCGATGGTCTTGATATTTATGTTGTTTTTGATGCATGCGTTTTGTATATGTAATTCACAACACTGTATGTGTGAAAAAGAGGAGTGTGTGAGTGTGTGTTGTGGAGAGGCCGTATTATTACAGGCTACGTGAACTCGTAAATGTATTTGTCCTTCCTTTATATACACCCCCCCCCCACCACCACAAAAAAGACTATTTTCATTGTGGCTCCAGCTTTGTGTAAAATTCATTATTTAGCCTTCATGTTTTTATGCATTGCACATTGAATAAATTATTCTATGGACATTCACATTTGAGTGTTTTAAGTAATTTGTGATATTACATGGCGCTTTTTTTAAGCTTGGAAATGTGTTCTGACTGAATGTGTATTTGTGGAGGAGGGGGAAGGGGGTTCTGGTGGCCCGACTGAACTAGTTCAGCCTTCTTCTTTTTATTATCTGTAGCTTAATGATGATTGTTCTTGCTTTTTATCCTTCTTGTATTTGTATTTTGGTTTATGGTGGTGAAAAATGATTTGAACGTTGGTCTGGGGCGCTCAGGCCGCAGTGTGTACTGACCTCGCAGAGTCGTGTAGGCAGTTTAGTTCGCTTTTGTGGGGTTTTATGGCTCGCTGCTGTATGAGGCTCGTCAATTTGCTGCGAGTCTTGGTGCAGTTCTGATAGACAGTCTGAGGGAGAAGGTACACTTTCAGAGGCTACTACAAGCTGCCTTGGCTACAGGATTTTGTATCTCGGACATGTAGGATTTAAATCGATCCGGTGCACACAGGTGAGGCAGCATCTTACTCATGTTGGCGGTATTTGTCTATATACTATGTTTATTTAATTTGCTTGGATGGTCTGCTACTTTAGAGAGCTGAGTGTGCTACATAAATGCCTAAATCTGAAATCTCGTCTTCTGACTGCCATGACTAGCTTCTTTTCTGCCCAGAGATTAGACTGTCGAGTGGTTTAGGTAGTTTCATGTTGTTGGGATTGCATTTTTTACCTCTGCAACACGAAACTGTCTTAATTGCCACAGTTAAATTCGTCGCAAACAGCTCAACATTTCATTTGACCAGACTTCATGTTATTTTGATGATGATAAAGGCTGGTTGGATCGTCCATTACGCCCCGTTTAGGCATTAGACTGCTTACACTAACTGTAATCGATCGCCTCATTTTGTCAGCTATTTGAACAATCTCAATGCTGTAGTGACCGCACATGTTTATAGATAAATCCATGATAGCCAGAATGGGAAAATACAGGAGGCCTTTTTATTTATTTGGAGCTGAGTGTACAGCGCATAGGAAGCAGACAAGGCCTCGGTTATGTCCATTGAAGTCTGGGGAAGGCCTGGACGTCTCGTGGGCAACAGCGACCTCAGTGGAGCTCCGGTGAGCTGAAGAGCACTCCGCGCTTCCGCTCTGCGACCATAAGAGGCGGCTGGACACAAAAGGGTGGATGGGCTTTATGGTGGTATTCAGACTCGGCCGACAGGATCTTATCTGCAGCCTAAAAAGAGCTGAATAGCGCCTGCGGTAAAACTGGGCCACGTTAACAAACACCCCTGCGCCGTTTACTGCCTCCAAGTGCCATGGAGCTTCCGTCCCTTTCCCCCTTTTATTTCTGAAAGGTGGCTTCATTTCCTGCTGTAAAAGAGAGACAGATTTACCCCGTCTGCTTTTTTCCCACCAACTGTCCTGGTTCAGCAGCGCTGAATTCGTGTTTGAAGTTCTGCGCCTGTTTTGGTTAAAATGCTGCAGTTTAAAGGATATAAAATACACTGGGAATAAATGATGCAATGCGATGAACTGATTCAAACATATACGTTATTTCCACGTTGATACAATTTATTGCATATTACACAATTGTATCTTTCGCTTTACTTACTTTTGGAAATGGCTATGTTGATGTGTGATGTACATATTTAAACCAAGTAAATTCAGTGTATTAGTTTTTCAGTGTGTTCCAACAGAAAGTGGACAGTTGAACCATTGCAAAGCCGTTTATTTAAAATGAGAAAGAAAGAAAGAAAGCATTATAACACCACAGCTGTTCAACTGGTACATGTCCTGAAAATCTTTTCGATAGCTGATTACATTCAGGATATTTGTCGGTTAAATCATTATCATTGAGTCTAAACCCATTTGTTCATATACATGCTACGTTTCATTATATACATGATTCAGTTTCAGTCTAAGCAGCATTACGCTTGTATCTTAACCCACCACAAATGCCTGGATTTTAATATGGGGTCGATTAACAAGGACAGTCAAAATGGCTAAAATAGTTCTGTTATTATTATTATTGTTGTTGTTGTTGTTGTTGTTGTTGTTTTATTATCAGATTTCTGGTTACTCTTTTAAGTGAAAATTTGTGAATAAACACCATTTAATTAAATAAAATTAATAAAATTAATTCATGATAACAATTAGCGTTGGAGTAAGCAACTAAGAGCGCTGTGATCATTGCTATATTGCCTAATATTGTAATGAGCAGTGATATGAAATACAACAAACAAATACAACAAATTCTACAATTTATTATTATTATTATTATTATTATTATTATTATTATTATTGCTGGTGTAAGAGGAATTCTCTATATCACTACAATATAAATTAACAATATTAATGTCGGCATTATTATTAAAATTGAGTAAATCTTGCATCAATATTTTTAGGCACACAACCCTTTATACATTTGCGTAATGAATGGTTAAATGATGTTTTGTGCATCGTGATATCATTTAGGCCTGTATATTAATTGCTATATTACTTGGAAATGATTTAAAATCCTTTCAAACGCACTATTTGAGGTTTCAATAAAATATAAAGAACTTGCAACACAATGAAGTATGGAGGAAATTGAATACTTTTCGCGAATATCAAAAATGGGAATATTACTGCACTTAATTCAATTTTTTTTTTTTCAGTGACTGTGAAAAACTATGTAGAGGCAGTTACTGACGTGAAATAAACTTGTCTTGTTATCTGTCTTGTTATGATGAGGATTGCAGCATAATTATTACGAGCTACGCTGTTGTTGGAAGTGACTGAAAAATGGATAATTTAACTACTCAGCGCTGCTCAGCCATGAATTCTAGTTACAAGTGTAAGAAATAAACTGATAATTCAAGCAATATTGCATTTAAATTACGGATTGTTTATGTAAATGGTGTATAAAGTATAACATAAGTCGAATCTCGCAGAGACTGAGATCATGTTTAAGGCATGACTAGACTTCAAACTCAGTTGTCTTGTTTCGAATAAAGATGTTTTATGTGATCTCGCGCATAAAATATTACACACCCTCAGACCCATTTGGATTGTTACAAACACTTTTACAGATGGCTTGAATTCTGAAATCAATCCCGTTTACTGGCTTTACAACTATTCCTTCGGTGTTCCTGTAGACCCGAGCACTTCGCAACATTCATTGGTTATTTTTTTTTTTTTTCAGTAGATAGTTGGTGTTGTTATAGGGCTCATGGCGTTGGGCAAAACAAGCTTTTTTTACAGCGAGGACGAATGATTTATCCTTTATTGTTCAGTCCCTGTGATCACGTGCTTACGGCACCCAATCAAATGGCAGAATGCCTTCAACTTATTAAGCGACTGGAGCTTTGCGAGGGGGGACGCAGCCTTTTGATTCCCACACTTTATTATTTTGCGAGGCTGTTGGTGTATGTGTGTTGGTGTGTGTGTGTGTGTATATGTGTGTGTGTTTTTTTTAATGTGTGTATATGAATGCGAGCGAGCCCCCACCATGTCGACATCCGGAGCTCTGACAGGATACTACGTTGACTCTCTGCTACTACCGGAGAGCGAGGAAGCCCACTTTCCTGCAGGCCCGGGGCTTCTCCAGCACGCCAGGCAGTCTGCTCTACCAACCGAGCGCAGCGAGCTCGGGCCATGCGTGTTTCCCTCGAAGCAGCCCGTGTATGGCGGCTCAGGATGGGGCCACATACCCTCCGTGTATCACTCGCACGCGCAATCCCAGCCCCAGTTAGCGGGAGACTACGCACAGCCGTGGCTCCTGGACTCAGGCTGCGCTCCCCTGCCTCTGACTGAGCTGCCGGCCGTCCATCACCACTTCCCTGCAAAACACGAGCTGCTCGGCCACGCTAACGGTGCGCTTTCCAGCTCCCAAGCTGCTCTCCTACAGGAGGACTTCACCAACGGTGGATGCGCCACAGACACGGATGCGCTGACCGCTCGCACTACAAAAGCAAGAGGCGAGGAACCAGAGAAACCAAGCGTCGATCCAAGTAAGATCAATAGTTTTTACATGCGTGTCAAGTGGTTGTAGATTGGTAGCTATTTTTTGCATATCTTGGCTGTCACTGTAGGTACTGTAGTTGTCTTGAAACTTCGCATGTCATAAGCTTGGATGGACCCTCACCTATTTGACTACACTCTTAAAAATAACGGTTCCTGAGTGGTCTTTACATTGTTTGGAGGTTCTTGAACTGGGGGATTCAAGAATATATATATATATATATATATATATATATATATATATATATATATATGTTGGCTTTTGATGGCGTATGTATACATGTTTTATGAGAGCTATCAAACTCAGTTGGATTGTTTCGAAACCCTTTTACAGTTGGCCAAAATTCTAAAACCAATTCTTGTCTTACATGCATACATGTACATATATATATATATATATATATATATATATATATGTGTGTGTGTGTGTGTATATATACATAGAAAAGCTCTTTAGGCAGTCTGCATGGTTCTAGTAAGACATCGCTCCTAAGAACCTATAATAGCAACGTTGTTTTTTTAGAGTGTAGAGAGTTTCTGTGAGATGTCTGAATAGTTATGATTGTAATCTGATTATGAATATGCTGCTTAATATGGGGTCTTGGGTCTCAGTCAGGTAGATGTTCGCTCATATTTTCGACCCCCCTCCCCCTTCTTCTTCTTGCTCCCTCTACCTTTCCCTAGACAACCCCGTGTCCAACTGGCTTCACGCGAGCTCCACGCGCAAAAAACGCTGCCCGTACACTAAGCACCAGATCCTGGAGCTGGAGAAGGAGTTTCTCTTTAATACATACCTCACGCGCGACCGCAGGTACGAGGTGGCGCGCCTCCTCAATCTCACTGAGAGACAGGTCAAAATCTGGTTCCAAAACCGCAGGATGAAGATGAAAAAACTGAACAAAGACGGCACGAAAGACGAGTGAAAGAGAGCACTTTGAGAGCAAACCAGTGTTGAACTGAATGTTTTTTTTTCACATTAGGTCCTTCCTCTTTCATTCCATGATTTTTATTCATTGTTTTGTTTGTTTGTCTTTAAAGCATGCTAGGAGTCGTGTTGCATATTGGATTATTTGTGTGTCTTTACGTGACTGAATCTTACTGAATATTGCACAAATCCAGTTTATTTGAACGGAAAGGGAAAAAAAAATGCTCTGACGAGGCCTCTTTTTCTGGCCCTTATCAAGCCTTTCGTTTTTTGTTCAACTAATAGACACGATTTTGATGTATATATTAATTCCCCTTAGATTGTATCTTAGTATATTGATGTAGATCTAGAGTATAGTTGTATTTTATTATTATTTCTGCAGTCCTTAGACATTTCGAGCAGACCATTGTAAACCTGGTTCATGCAGTGTTATGTAGTTTTCACACTGAAGGGTTATAAGGTCATGTGTGCTCTAAAAATGTTGTAGAATTTTGTTCATAATTACTTTAGTTTTTGTGACTGCCTAAGCTCTTCACTACCTATATTTGACTTTTCTGTTTTAATTTTTTTAATAGAGATTCCCTATATATGCTAACATCTGAGCTCCGATAAAATCATTGCGATCTTCAGGGAGTGAGTGAGATAGATATTAAAGATAGCTAAATGAAATAGATATTAAAAAACACTGTAGTCAGAAAAATAAATACCTCATGGGCTGTGGACCGCCCTGACCATGTGCTTTTGTTTACTTTAAATCTCTCAAATGTAATTTGTACTTTATTTATTGAAGAATAAAACCATATCTGTGAACACACCCTGAAGCCACGTTTATTATTATTATTATTATTATTATTATTATTATTATTATTATTATTATTATTATTATTATTTTATCTATTGCTTGGGTTGGAAAATGTCGATTGTGTCAGTGTTATTTTGTAGTTACACCGTTATTTCTGTAGGCCATGTATTGCAGTTATTATCCTTTTTTCATCCTAATTGAAAATGGGTTTGAAGTTGGAGAAACAAACTTTCTGTTCTTACTTAATCTTTGTTTACAGAGTGCTAGAAGCAGCATAACTCCCCACCCCCTTCCACACATTCTCTAGATACATCTCTTATATAGGCTACCTTCAACACAGTGTGGGAGGCCATTTTGGGCGTGTTGGGACTCGGGGTGAGCAGCAGGCCCATCCCGCAGTACAACCGTTCTGGCAGAAGAGATTGCTAGCTGTATACTGCCATAAAAGACAATTACCGCTATAACCGTTTATGGGGTGCAAAGCGCTGCGAGGCGAGAGAACGCAACACAAGAGAGATGTTATTAGAGCCAACAGCTGAAAGCCAGAGAACATCGCTCCGTCTGTGCATCCGAGTGCCGCTCTAGCACAATCCAGGGCATGGAGAAGCAGAATTTGTCTTTTTGGCGGCCATGATCCAGCGGGGTCCAGCTTTGCGCAAAATGGCGACACGCGCTTCAGTGTCCAGTTATGCGCATGGAGAATTAACGAATGTTATATAATAACACAAACTGAGTCGAGTGTGTACCGCATACCGTGCTGGACATGAGGTTGTGACGCACATGAGTCGCAGATGGACGGCGACTTCAAAGGCCTCACCGCGGAGACGCAGCCATTAAGTGCAGGGCCTGCAACTCTGTCTGGCATTCCGCGTTTAATGGCTTTATGGCTGTCCAGACACAATTAGGCCGTTTTCAGAAGCCCCGGGACCCATTTGGACTAGTGCTTTTTCCCCCTCTCCCCCTTTTCTGCTCTCTGTGAGACTGCACCGCGTGCACAAAAAGCCAGCGGAAATAATCTAGTTTTATTGGCGTCTCTGGCTGAGGCTGGCCCCACGGCGCTCTCAAGCACCTTTTGTCTGAATGTTGCTGAGCTGCGTGCTGATAAGGAGGGCGATGCGTAGGCTACCATGGAGACGTTTCCGGAGAACGTATTTGTTGTAACGTCATAGTGGAACGTAAACTAATATCATCAGTGCAGTAATACACATCGTATGCCACGTACCTGCGTGCATGCGCAACCACTCAACACAGTTTTCACTCCAGTCCTGGCGGACGCAAGCAAAGAGCGTTGTTTTTTTATGTTGCTGTTACAAAATCTGACCACTGGATGTCAGCAAAGTTCCACCATAGGGTCAAGGCTTCACTGGTTTGCACTGGTCACCTTTGAGGCAAGGCATTCAAGTTTATGACGTATGGTTTTATACATCCCACCAGGACTGCACTCTTCAAAAAAGATGATGATGCTTCAAGGGTTCTTTAGTAAAGACAACGGTTCTATATAGAACCTTTTTGAAAATGGTTCTTTATAACACGAAAAAGGTGACGTTGTAAAACAAAAGAACTCTTGTTGGTGCTTTTTTGGGTATCTTTTTCAAAAAGCTTTTATGTAGAACCATATACATCACATTTTCCAAATCTGAAGAACCATTTCACGATGCAAAAATCCGTAAAGCATGCATATGGTTCTTTGAGTATTCATAGTTCGATATAGAACCATTGTCTTTACAACAGAACCCTCGAAGAACCAACCGTTTTAAGAATGTATGAAACGATAACATGCAAGCCACCTGGCAATTTTAGGTTTATGTTTATATACACAAAAATAACTTCAGTGACAATTAACTCTTAGTGCGCTCGCTCGAGCTGAATGTGCCGCCTGTATAAAACAGATTCAGACTGACTCAGTTAGAGTTACATTAATACAAGTGTACTAATAGTAGTTTATTTAGTCATTTTCATTCTCGGCTTGTCAAAGCGACTTAACTGTGCTTAAGACTTCAGGCTTCATTTAGGCTTGTTTGAGATGGGTCAACTGTAATATCGTGATTAAAATTAGTAAATCTTGCTGTTGTGTGGTACAATAATTTACAGCCGTGACCTTTACTGCATCATTTGCAACCATATCTACTGCTAAGGACTGATAATATTTCTGAAATACGTATACATCGTAATTCAGTTATCTTGCTTCATGCTGATTTACCATAGAGATGAAATAATTACACGTTGGATATGTGAGTTACGCATCTGTTATGATATTGGATTACAATGCTCTGCAGGCCTGTGTAAAACATGGTGTAGTGCTGCTGTGCTCGGTATTGCATTGCGCATTACAAATGTGCCCGAGTGCAGCCTTTCAAGTAATGTTCCGCGGCTTTAACACGGTTACTGCTGCTGTGTAATTTAAGTTGCGTTCATTACTGGGTCAAGCCCTCAAAATAAACTGCGCTGCAGGGATAGCGTTTCCAAAAAAGACGTGAGCTTTGCTTAAAAACTGGTTGGGATGACATAGCTTTTTATTTTATAGCTTTATTGTTGTTTTGTTGACCATAAAATGAAGGTCGTTCTGGGGTCTGCTTAAAGATTCTGGGTCACATTTCGTAATTCTTTAATAGGATTAAGCAAATTATATTAAAAAAAAAAACAGGAGAATGAAGACAAAAAGAAAGCAAGTATGTAAATAAATGAATAAATTAACAAATAAATAAAAAAATAATCACTGTGAAGAAAATAATAAAAAATACTCAACAATTCTTTGCAACATTACCTGTATTTTACTTTAATTTTAATTGTCTAAAATGTTAGTATTTACTACTACTACTAATTTTGGCATGTAGTAAAAAAAAAAAAACAAGCTAAATAACTATATAAATAATACAACCCACAGCTCACCTTAACCAGAAGAATGAATGAATGAACTTCCCCGAGCAAGATAAAGAACAAGTTTCATTACCTGGTTACTTTCAGTTAAACGTTCAGTTTAACTTTGAACTAATCACGCTATAAAAATAATATTTAATTATTATTGCATAAACATCTGAAAAATCTGTGTTTATATCGTATAGTAATTAGAAACGTTAAACTGAAATATAATTCTACCATGAACTTTTTTCTCACAGGGTCGTCCTCCTCAACAATAACAATATCTTTACAGTTTGAATGTCTTTTACATTTCAGTAGCTGTGACATGCTACGAAGTAAAAAAAAAAAAAAAGAAAAAGAAACCACCCAATTAAAACGAGTTTATACTCAGTATATTTTCATCGTTTCATTGCTTACTTTGTCGAAAGCAATTCCTTAATTCCTCAAACGGCACAGACTGTAGAGAAATATGTACTATCTACTAAGCATAGCTTTTAAAGCCATTACAGTTCATGTCTGCACTGTAAACACTAATTACTTGTATCTGCAAAAATCCAGATGAAGAAACAATGGAGATGGAGTTGGCCACTGAAAATCGAAGAAACACGCATGGCCTCTGATTGGCCAACAAGAGCACACGGCGTGATCACGTGATCTCCAAAGCCCAATGCCTGTGAGCTTTAGGTTGGCGTGAACTCTTGGTTGTAATGGCATCATATATCACCCTACCTCGTAAAAACGACACTGAGGATTCTGGCCCAACAAATCAATTGGAAGGGGATAAAATGAATTCGTCTAATATTGTGGATGTTTTTCCCAGTAATGTGCAGCTCCCTTCTCAGTCACAAGCAGGGGAACAGAGCGCTAAGCTTCTGTCTCAGTACAGTGATACTGGATTTTTATCATATTTGTTAAACATCATTCTTCTAGCCTTGCTTAAATGAATGGTCTTTGGGCTAAGACTGGGATATCTCAGAGACTTTCTTCGAAAAAGACGTGAAGCTACAGCACCGGCCATCTACGCACAACTGAAACGATGCTGTGGAGTCTGTCCTTGGATGAGACACCAGGTAGGAATCCAGCTTTTTGCTGATGATCGTGAGTTCTGTATTGCAGAGCAATGCATCAATGCCGGCGGTGCAGCAGATTCGACTATCAAGGAGCGTTTTTTATTTGCTTGATTGCCTGCAAGCTAATTCATTCTTGTCTCAGAGTGCTCTTATTGCGTGTATACTGCTGTTGTATTTACCATTTGATGTTGATCAATCAGACAGTAATCAATAAATCAATAACAGTAACAGGCCTGGTAGTTCTACAACCTGTTACAGATTCTGATACCAAATAAGAAATCAATAAGAACATGTCATCAAGCTTAGATGACTAACAATCAGAATAGCTAACTGCTTTATTCTTGCTTTCTTTATTAATTAAAAGTTCATGCCTTGGACATACAATTCTAAGAAACATTAGAAACTTGGTAGAATTTAAAAGCCCAACATGTGTTACTTTTATGCTATTTGGACGTTCTAAACTGTAAAAAGCTTCTTCGCACTCACTCCTACTTAGAAAATTGGTTCTTTGAATAGTCACAAATTAAAAGGAAGCTAAACATGATTCTTTAAAGAATGTATATAGAAAATCTGCAGCACCGATGGCATTATCTCCCAGTGGCACTTTTTTAACCTGATGGTATGTCTAGACAACTACAGCCCTACACCATCCAGCAGCATATAGAATACTGCGTGTTTCCCACAGCCAGTGCTACACACGGGCGTGCAAAACATTGGATGTCTCCAGGGCCTCTTTCTAATGTGTTAAAATATTAAACTTATTTATGGTAAGCTTTCATAAGAGAGCCAAGACCTGAGGGCTGCAGGCCTACGTGATGCAATGTTGACCGACATCTGTGAAGGATTTTCATTTCACATTGCAGACAGGATCGTAATCAACAATTCCCCATTCGTAATTAAGCATTTAGGTTAAAGAATATTTAATCACAAAACGAATCAGTGCGTCCCTCCAACCCAAACACACACACACACACACACACACACACACACACACACACACACACACACACACTAATAGGCTGTACACTGTCTATTTACCGCTGATGCTGAAATTCTCTAATTGTAATAAAGTATGTTTAAAGCATTGAATTGGATCTTCGATGGGGTGTGTGCTGTACATTATGGCTGAAGTTTCATAATTCCAATTGGTCAGTCGGTCGCACGTGAGCAGAATATGTTGCATCAGCGAAATTGCTGTATTTCATTTTACTTATTTAGCTAAGAATTGATGTAAAATAGTGTTCATGTGTAACTGACTGACACATTTTAACCATGTAAATTCAATGCACGATTTCATTCAGTGCAGATAAACCAATGATTGTAATCCCTCACACGTGACGTCGCGCTAATCAGAACCGCGGAGTTTTGCATAATCGTGGTTGATTAGACTGCGCTCAGGCTTACAACAGCACGGAGAGCTCCTCCTCTATGTAAAATGGCGCCTTGAAAACATCTTTGCTTTTCCAGCCCCTCCTTCTCCTTCTAAGCCAGGACGAGACTATAAATCTGTTGTTGTTTATCAAAATTTACTACTCTGCTGTGCAACTTTACGAGGCTGCGCGAGCTCCCATTGGCCAGCGGTGATCACATGAGCTTGAGGTCCCATGAACATGAACTTTTTATGTGCATGCTTCCTTTCCCCAGAATAGGGTTGCATTCTTCTCCCGCAGCTCGCCTAGCCTCGCTGTTGTTTCGCCAGCAGCGTTCATTGTTGTTGTGTTTGTTTTTTGCAGTTTTCTTTCGCGTTTAGACTTTTTGGTGAGGGGGCTGCGGAGTGAAGGACGTTTGGGCACCGCTGGGATCTTTTCTCTCACGATGGACGAAGTGAGCTTTGAGCTGGACAGCTGTCAGATGTTCCCCACGTCCCAGCTTGTACTTGCTTCTGCTGCTGACATGGAGCCACGACCACCGTAACGGGTAGGAATCATGGTGTAGTTCACCAACAAATATTATCTATGCAGAATTATTATTATTATTATTATTATTATTATTATTATTGCTGCTTGTATTGAGGAACTTCTTTTCCATCTAGTAAGCTTTAAAAAACATGTGGCATGTTTATTGCTTTTGTTTGATTAGTATTCTGAATACAGCATTGTGATGCTATGCCAGCTCGGTTGGCTTAAAGATAGATTTACTTCAGCACGAGTGAGCTGAGGGGGTTTTGTGATTACTGTGAACGTAATGCTGACAGCAGTGCTGCGCTGACCCCGTAGGAGATGTTTGGGCCTTTGCCTAAACGTAACATATGGTACCGTCTTGGTCTGTCGCAGAGGTAGATCTTAAAACCGCCATCTGGTGGCGCTGTGACATAATGCACTGCTCAAAGTGGCATAACTTCCAGGTTTCATGTCAAAATTAAAGTGATGATTGACCTTAAGGACTTACATTTCATGCAGGCTAGGTAAAAGAATTGGGGTGGCATTCACAAAACATCTAGGCTTATGCGTGCTGTTTCTGGGCCAATGTTTTCTGACCACACAGTGATGGATGGGTAGGGATTGTAGCAAATCCGTTCCTGGATCTGCTGTCATATTTTGAGAAGCTTTGTGAACGCCACCCCGGTGATGTTTCCTTTATAAGAATAGGAATTATTTGATTGTTCTTGAGTCCACTTGAGTCTACTACGCTGGGCTGCATATGTTGTTTTGCTGTTTTTAGGTATACATTAAGACTTCTCAGGCTTCTCTGACATTTGAATGGGTTTTAATGCAGTTACCTCGTAAACAGTGTAACGACGAGGTGACTTTTATTACATGAGGGAAAAGTCAATATTATATCTATTGTAACGAGTTATACAATGGCTGTGATGATTAGTTTAACGCTAAATATTTGTATTCTTTAATCATATATTTGGAGAGATTTACAAAGGCCATTCTATATCGCTTCGATGTGTTTGTGTAAATCAAAAATGTCTGTCTAGTCTATCATTCCTTGGGTTTTTTACTTCAGACGTGCCCCTTGTGTACAAAAAAAGTCTTGTCTTTCGCTGGTATCACTGTCATCATCATTGTCGTCGTCGTCGTGGTCGTCATGCTATCCTGCTATCCTTAATTGCTTCTGTTTATGTACATTGCAAGAAAAAACGTGAAAGTAACACCATCAAAAATGTTTTAACCAGAGCTTCATGTTCCTTGCCCTCTATTTCAATCAATTTAAAGCATTTTAAAACATTGTAAAGCTCTCTGAGCATTTCCATTGTGTGGTTTTGATCTTGTATAATGCTTTTCTTGGTTAAATACAGTATGCGCTCTTTATGTGAGCGAGTATGTGTTAAAACTCTCTCTCTTACACCATTTAAATTTCTATTTGAAATTACTTTTTAATTTCTTTTTAATTTATGGTCTGTCAGTTTTACTATTAACTTATTTTTAACAGCCTTACTGGTCGAAAGATGAAGCAATTTCGTGTGTCCATTGTATATCATATAAGAATTTAATATTGTAATCCTACGGCTTCCTCCTTGAGACTGTATTGTTTCATTAAATATGCAGGAAAATCAGGCCTACGACTGTAAAACTATCATCCGCAGCGTTAAACCCGTTAAAAACAGCGCCGAAGGCCTTAATTTAACGGCTCTGATTTCACACCCGGTGACATTTTCACATGCCAATAATGACTATAAATATTTTGAACGTCAATTTGTGGTATTTCAATGTGACAGTCAATGTTACAATGCATTCAACTGTGGTGTGTGTGTCATTTCCAAACATCTGCACAGGGTTTGGCTGCTTATTTAGTCAGCTTTGCTCACGATGAGGTGAAGCTGGCCACAAAATTGCCATTGCACTGGAGAACAGGAATGGATCCTGCGCCCTGGTGTTGTAACTAGTTCTTGGCTGTGATTTCACAGAGGGAGACAAAAGTAATGTAAATAATAATGGAAATATCTATTTAACATTTTTACACTTTTTCTTTGAGGTAGTACAAATGACTTGAATTCTAAAAAGGCGTGTCTTTGTTCTACAACAAAAGATGAACTCTTGAAGGATGAATATACGTACTGTAGTACATTCCACAGATTTAAAAGAAACACAAAACCTCCAACCCAATCTGTAGTATAACACGTTTATTCAATCGATTTTCTGTCGTTCTCGATCAGAGGGCTGTATCAGAGGTTTGATGGTAGGTGTTCTGATTTCATTACGTTGCGTCCATGTCGTCTGTTTTCCTTCTCCTAAAAAAAGATAAAAGCATAAAACAGTTTTATCACCATTTACTTTGACAATAGTGCCTTTATCAGCAGACGGAGGTACCCAACAACTGCTAGCGCGCATCGTTTATCGTTAAACAGTTTGTGGTGAATCAAATAAACTGCATTATTTTATACAACGCTACACCTTAACACCGTAATTTTGGACTGAATGTAATTTTTTTTCATGTCTTTTTTATATTTGTTTCAATTTGCTTTTTTAATAGTTGATGCCGGTTCTTTGTTTTTTAATACGTTTGAATCTGTCGCATCCATCGAATATGCTCTCTGTTCTCGGCTTTTACGGAGAGGTCACGGTATTGTGTATTGTTTCAGCAGCAATAATTTTTCCACTGCAAAGTCGTTAACCTCCGCATGACCCTGTCGCAGCCTCGCCTTGGGACGGGCGCTGTGGGAAATTCTCCGCTTCGACCAAAGGGTGGCGCACTACTACAATTCTAAACCGACGGCGACCGCTGCCCGAGCTCTGGAACACTTGCGCGCGCTCCCGCCCTCCACCAATTCCACCCAGATTTCCTGCTTGCGCGTGAGTTTACCGCTGGAGGTCATCGCACAGGATTTACGACTGGTCAACAAAAAACACGTGACTCCGAGCCGTACCCCATATTTGGGCGCCTACGTAAGAGAGCATGAAGTCTGTGTCTCAGTCATTTCCATAATTCATCATAAATTGTGCAAGGGCGCAATAGACGCGCAAAACCATCAAGAGACACAAATCAAGCACACACGGCATTGTTCTCTCCACGGTAGTAATAATACCGGCTAAGCAATTATCAGGTAATCATTGTCAACCAATGAGCTCTTATTTTGTGAACTCATTCTGCGGTCGCTACCCAAATGGCGCGGACTATCCGTTACATAACTATGGAGATCACGGCTCGAGCGACCAATACCGGGACTCTACGGGCATGCATTCCAGCAGGTATGGCTACGGATACAATGGAATGGATCTCAGCACCGGCCGCTCCACGACTGGCCACTTCGTCTCCTCCGGTGAACGGGCTCAGAGCTACAGTCAGAGCCCAACGGCGACGCCTGTCGATGCCCGGTACAGTCAACCGATCACAGCGAGCAGCGCTGCTACCCAGTCACCTCCCCCTGACCCGCTCGCGTGCTCTTCAGTCGACAGTTCTCCCGTTAGCGAGCCCGCGCACCGCGCCCTGAAAAACTCCATGCCGAATTCTACCGGCTCCACGTCCAACGGCACTGGCGCGGTGCTGGGCTGTGAGGACGTCCCCAAAACGTGCAACAGCATGGAGGAAGAGAAGCCGACGGGAAGTGCGCAGACGACTACACAGAGTGTGTCCGACACATCCCAGCCACAGATATACCCTTGGATGCGAAAACTTCATCTAAGTCACGGTAAATACAGTAATAAATACACTTCCATTATTATAATTCCATTAGATCAAATAGTTTTTTTTTTCCTCATATTTATTTTTGCAACGACTTTTACATTAGCAGTTTCTTTCGCACGTGATTCCAAAACTTTTTCCCTACATAAATGCGGGCTATCGTTTAGTCCATCAGAGTCAGATTGCACGCATGACCTTTAAGTGCATCAGTTTGAAATGTTTGTTTAGAGAGCTCAGGTGTGTCGGTGGAGATTTGCATGCGCGTCCAGGTGTGTGTTTCGTGAAAGTGGATCCAATTTTCAGCACCGTTTCATTTTAAAAACTGCACTTTGGTTCAAATTGTTTGTGACTTTTAAATTGTGGATATTTACAGACTTGGCTGGGCCGGAGGGAAAGAGGGCGAGGACAGCCTACACGCGCTACCAGACCCTCGAGCTGGAGAAGGAGTTCCACTTCAACCGCTACCTGACCCGACGCCGGCGGATAGAAATCGCGCACGCGCTCTGCCTCTCAGAACGACAAATCAAAATCTGGTTTCAGAACCGGAGGATGAAATGGAAAAAGGACAACAAGCTGAAGAGCATGAGCATGGCGGCTGCGGGGGGTGTTTACAGGCCCTGAGCGTGTACATGTTAATGTGTGTGTGTGTGTGTGTGTTATCCTATGTTATCCTGTGCTAAAAGTGTAAATAAGGCGAGTAAGGGGGTCTGAAGGGATGTGATCTGTTCCCCCCTTATCCAGAGACTTTCCACACCGTGAACGCCCCTGCGTTCTGCTCTTGGCCTGAAAAACAAACCATTTCCTTTGGACTGTCAAGTAATAATGCTTGTGTGAGTAGACTGCTGCATTGTAAACTCGTATGTAGAATTAGCACATCCACATGAAAGTGTAAATTAACCTCTAACTTATGTCCGGTTCTGACGAAAAAATGTAAGTGCTTGAAGTGTCCGCCAAACGCTTTTCGTAAACAGTAAAGGTTGGCTTATGTTGCACTCTGGAAAGACTTTTATAAAAGAATCGAAGAACTTACCGCGTTGTCTTGGCCTTCTCTGATGTGTAAATATGTATTGAATATGGATGTATTTATTTTGTTCATCTCTAATTTCAGGTTTTGTAGTTATGCTGAGGTAGTTGGCTACCTGTTTGTGGCCGTAATGTATTTTCACCACTGTGTGTTGTGATAACAAGTCCAGATTTGTTTTCATGTAGGTGCAATTTTTCTTACTTTTGCACGTTTTATCGTAATAAACAACTACTTGGGCGTGACTTTCAACATGAGTTTGTATTTGAAAATACTTGCAAAATGTAATTATTGTCTTTTTGGCATCTCGTGAAGTGGTTTTTTTTTTGTTTTTTTTTGTAAATATTAAACGGTAACTGGAAATTCAACAGATATGATAATGTCGCTGGTAATTATTATGGTTTATGGCTGAGTCAATAAAATTTTTACTCTAACTCATTTCATTGCTGTGTCAGATTTGATTCTATTTGGACTGTTTAATTGACATATTGTGTCAAATTGTTTTGCTTTATAATTATTTGTTGACTAAATATTTGTATTTACAAACAACGTGAAATAAAACATTTATCAAAGCGAAAATACCGTTTTTCAGAGATTATCTTAAATAAATCAGTTAAATTGTATATTTTAATGGTAGTTATTAATTAATATTGTAATGAAAGATAGGCGACCTCCATTCATCTTTGAGCTGGGGTGGCCTAAATATATATATTGAATGATTAAAAAAAGTTGTGTAAACGCTTAACAGGTAGGAGAGCTCTGCGATCACTTTGATATCAACAGTGGATCGTCCCACGGCAAAGCTGGTCATTTTTTTGCTACGAACTTTATTAGGCCTTGCGCAGTTTCTGCCATCACGACACTGGTGCGAGGAATGAATAAGGGGGTTTGGTCCATGAATTAGGTCGTAAAAATCATCCAGGGCGCACGGACAGATAGGCTCACTGCCCATAAAACAGTCACGTGGTGGCCATTAAAGTGGTTTTATGGTTTTGGGGAGTCGACAGTATATCGCATATAACATCTAATCGCACTGACGCGGAGCTTCTTTTGGCTCTTTTTGTAGACGGTAGAGGTGTTCCCTGTGTTCCTTGAACGTTGTCGCCGCTGCCAGTCACGTACAGGCTCGCCATGAACTGGAAACCTGAAGACTGGGTTTTCCCTTGTGGTAAGTTTAACTTTTAGTTTTTGTTCATTGCTCCTGTTCAGTTAGGCCTAAAGTGAAATTGCTCTTGTCTGGGATGTACGATTCAAAGAAAAGAAATCTTAAACTGGTACATTTAAATATTGTTGAGTTTTTTTTAAGTTTTGAAAATTCTGCGTATCTGATTTACAAACTTATAAGAAGCATCAGTTAAAAAGTTATTTGTGGAAGCCGAAGTGGTTCGTCTATCACATCGTTTTTGATTCCACTCATTTTGAAAAGTGTAGGACTGAAGGAGGCTTGGGTTCATATAGTTCCTCTGAATTGCTAAAATCGATTTGCAAAGTGAAGGACTGAATACCGAGCAGACGAGCGGTAAAGAGAACTTGCTGGCTTACTGTGATTGCTTCTGTCTTGGGTAAATGTGTTTTCTAGTCTTTCAATCCAGGCAAAATAGTTAAAATGCGCATGAACAATTGTTCAATAGGTAGAGCCTTAGCAAAACTTTCCCCTATGTATTCAGTGCACGGATGTTGTTGTGGCGGTTTTATAAACACAAGTTCCCCCAGGCAGTTCTTAAGGGTTTTGGCAGCGCGGTCAAGGACAGTGTGTACAAACACATACTGATGGAGTAAATTCTCATTGCTCCTTATTTTCTTCACCTGCTTCAATGTGAAGTAGCCCTTCGATGAGAGGTGCAGTACACAGAGCCCTTATTTGGAGCTTCGTCTAAAGTGTGATTTGATGTGTAGTGGGCTACACAAACCTGAAATACTTTTTTTTTACTCTAATAAATACATGCACATGGATGCAGTGCATATCACATGTTTTTGGATGCTTCGTCGCCCTGATGTTCTCTTGGCCTGCAAAGTTTGAATTCCGAGGTATAATATTATACATAAAGCAAATCTGTCACTGAATTGAAGTCTAGATGTTCAGTGTGTCTTTAAAAACAATTCAAGATGAGAAAATGTTCATCTGTGCTTTCGACCTCACTGTTCACATTTTGCTTTTTTGTGATATTTGGATTAAATTATAAATGTTTGGATTTCAAAAAAAGACTTTCAAACTCCTTCAAATTACAAATACCTGTCATGTTTTTTGGGTTCCCATTTTGATGCAGCAGCACTTCTGGTGTGAACAGACTCCTGAAAATACACTGCTTGTGTACTTGTGGTCCTTTTGCTTGGAAGATGTTTCATTGCTCTGATTTTTTGAGCATCTGATTACGGTTGCTGGCGATTTTAACCAAGAGTTTAATGTTTCAGTCTAAGCTTCAGATTTTTTTCACTTCAGTCAGTTGCGGTGCAGGTGAGATATGGACTCCTAAATGAAGCAGAAAACAATTAACCAGCCCTTTCAGAGAGTCATGGAAAGGTTAAGTTTATCAACATCTTTCGGCAGCCCCTCTCATCAATAATCTTCACCAGCAAAGTTTTCCAAATGTGTCATAGCCATTCATTAAAGGCACTGCAACATGCTATTGTCGAGCACGGAACAATTAGGTCTACTTTGCCACGGAATCCTCTTGAGGTTCCCCGTTATTAGAAAATGGTTAGAGAAGTGGGGGCGAGAGAGAGAGAGAGAGAGAGAGAGAGAGAGAGAGAGAGAGAATGAGGCAGAGAATGAGACAGAAGAGAGATTGGAGAAAAATGTCCTCGCTCTTGGTTCACCACGAGGTCACTGGCGGCAGGAAGATGAATGTGCACACGCAGTGAACCACCAGCAGAGCTCGCTTTTGGCCAAGTTCACTGTCACTCGCACTGCGCGCCCCTGCGCCCAACGAGGGTGAAACAGATAAAGAGAGAGAATTATTCCGTATCTATTAATAACGAGGATGCTCACCAGCATGGGAGAGCTAACACTGTATTACAAACAGGACGAAAGAAGCAACATGGGTTTTAAAGTGGGGGCAGTTTTCTCTCTTATCATGTTTATTTAGATAAATTTGCGCGGGACCTTGGAGTATGGGAACGGGCGTAAATGAGGAAAATGTGATGTAAAAGAGTTGCAGAACGATTGTTTGTTGTCTATCTGGGTATATTTGTGAGAGAGAAAGAGAGCAGGGAGCGATGGTAAAAGGTGGGAGTTGGTGTGGAGGGGGGGGGCTGGGGTCAAAAGTTTACCGCAGAACACGTCGCCGTCATCTGTTCTGGTGGAGCGCGGTGCCAGCGTTATAATGGCACAAAAGATGGAATAGCTGTGAATCCCGCGAGTTCGGGGCTAACCTCGCGGTGAACTCTGCGAGCTGAGTGACCCTGGGTTAGCAACCTCCAGAGACTACCTCCTCCGCCTGCACAGCTAAGATTAAGTGTCGGGGGTTTTATTAGAGGACTTGATTGGTGAATTTCCTTTGAATACATTGGATTTGATGAGCAGAAGACCCGGGCAAAATTTGCATTTTACGATTGATACTCCCCTCGCTGTTCGAATGAAACGGACAGGCTTTGTCTCTGGCTAATCTTAAAGGTTTTCGTCTTATCAAAATACTTCTCCACCCTCATATATTATGGCAGAGTAGAACATTCCTCAGTTTCTTTTCGCCAAATGGATGAAAAAGGCAAGGGATGCCACCGGTAAGACCGTAGACGAGTTAATATTACTTTTAAAGGCTAGTCCAATAATTTATCTAATATCTAACCAGATATCACGAAAACTCACCAAATTTAGCAGAAAAAATTACATTCTCTTATCGTTGTTTCATTAGCAGTTCAGATTAACGATCCTATATAACATTGAGGCTACGTGACTTTACTTTTTGCATCGATGGTTGTATTTTCATTCGTTTTGTCAGTTTATATTCTATACTATGAACCATTTTTCCCTTGGAGCTTTGCCAAGCTGTGCGATTTAAATGCATTTTCAGATAGCTGTGGATGTGACACATTAATGTTATTTTTAAACCTTGCTAATTAAACCAAATATGACAATTTAATGAAATTGACTTTTCATTTCTTTCCTTTGCAAAACGTTATTTTTACATTTAAAGGAAAACAAATTGTAATTTCGTTCCCAGGCGACTCCTATGATTTCACTACTGTGCTATCTCTACGCACAAATGGACTTCAAAGAGTTGAATATTTAAAATAATAAGCGAAACAAGAAAAAAATCAAGTAGTTAAGAGATGTTTGTCATTTTGTAGTTTGGTCAACCTAGCACTCAGTCTGTGTATGTTGTGTTTAGACTGGTTTAGGTTTAGATATATATTTCTCGGGAATGGAGATGGCTTGAAATAAATTTTTAAAAACACCTGAGAATGTATGTTCTTGTATTTAGTTTCATACGAATTTCCTATATGGTAAAGCAAAATTAGTTGTCTAAAATTGCAGTCTCCTATAAAATAACCTAGCGTTTATTCCTGTTGGTTAGTTTTTCAGTAACTAAACTGATTCTGACTGACTCCCTGTCTAAACACTGCGTGGACTGATCTGCCTTATCTGATTTGTGCTGTTCGGTGGGAAGAACCTTCAGACGGAACTAATTTTCATTTGCTAAATTAACTAAATTCTGAAAAAGACGAAAAACGAGTCATATGAAAAGTCGTCATATCCTTCCACAGGTTGGCTCAGTGCTTATTCTAAGAGCTGCTATAAGAAAAGAAAATGTGGAAAATCACTTCGCTGTATTTTCGTGATTTTTCTTGCACGCTTTGAGGAAACTTCTTGGATTTTTTTGAAACCCAGTGGTTACAGTGCCTTCTGCAGACCGATGAGATTGACAATTATTTATTTGAAGGTGATATTGACCCCTTAACCTCTAGGCTTATATTTCAGTTATTAATATTACGGCTCCTTGTTTAGTAAGTACTATGAATTATTCGCGAACTAACCTGCAATATATGTAGCCAATCATGAGGACAGAGGAGGGAAAATCTGGACCCGCAAAAGACTCCTCAGAGTTGAGGAGGTTAAGAGGAAAACATGTGTCTATAGCGAGGACATTTCTCACAGTTATTTTACGAAATGACACTCAGCACAGCTTCGAGCAAATCATCTACAATGCTTTTACAGAAGGTCATAACTCGCCTTCATAGACTTTCGCGAAAATGTAACATCATAGAACTGCAGACTGTATTTACTAGCGCATTTTTTCATTAAGACGGTCCAAAGGCATTGTTAATACAACTACTACTACTACTACTACTACTACTACTACTAATAATAATAATAATAATAATAGTCACTTTACACTCCTTAACCGTGTTGGGAAATTCAGGCACTGTTACAGCTGTCCACAGACTGAAGCCTACAGAATACAAATGGCTCGATCGTAGGCCTGCGCCCTTTCGGCCCAATTTTTTTGCTGACGCTTTCTTCTTCTTTTTGGGATGCTGTTGAGTGGTGACCTCCACGAGCCCCCCTGATAGTTCCCCTGGGTCCTCACCCAACGGGAGAAGCTAAGTCCAAGGCCGGGGTGAAAGCTAGGTCACTGCGTCTAACAAATATGAAAATGTCGTCGTTTCAGAGGGCACGCCTTGTTGTTTAACAAAGACTGTCAATGAGCAAGATTAATCAGAGGCGAAATGGAAACTGAGTCACTCAGAGGTCAGAGCAAAGTTATCTCTGTGCGGCGATTAATTCGAGAGGAGAAGCGAGTCTAACACTTCGCACGCCGTAGGGCCGCGCATGCTTTACTGGGCTCAGAAGGGAGCAACGCTAAGAGCTCAGGAAGATTCCCCGTGTTTGTGGATTGTGCTCATTCAAATCAACTGTAGACTGTGGAAAAAAATGGAAGAGTGTCGGAGCTACCTGTTGCGAGCAGGAGGTAGGCATTATTTCCATCTATTTGGGCAGGCGCCGTGGCACGTGAGGTCAGAAATGCTTGACAGGGTTCTCTATGCAAGAGCTGTCCTGTTATTCGAGCATGGGATAGTCGGATTGCTGTCTGTCTGTACAGTCTAAAGATGGAACCCCAATTGTTTAGTGATAAGATTGCTGTTTCTTGCTTTTCTTTAAATTCATGATATTTGCTTTAAATATGCAGCGCAGGCTATTATGTAGGCTGATGGGGTATTAGGTATGATTTTTCAATATTGCTTGTTTGGCTAATAAATTTGCTATTTTAAGTGTAAATGTTGCAGTTTACAGCCCCGTATCACAGAGGCCGTACGAAAAAAGGCTTGTCCATTCAACCTGAAAATACTTCATGTGGTAGCAAGCAATTGGACTGATTTTAGTATACTCCGGTACACACTTTGAAGGAAATAATGCACAGCAAAGTAAACAGTTCGGATGATCTACCTACTTACTTTACATAAATTCACACGTCAGAAATAATTCAAAACAACATCTGCGCTGTTCTACTAATGATTATTGGCTAATGTGTGTGAAATGAATTCAGATACTCTATATTTTCATCTGCTTTTCCAAAGAACGTTTGGAGCTGAGAGTTTAGAGGCAAACTGAAATGAGCACATGTAATGTTGTCGAAGACAAAACAGAGGAGCTGGTAATAAAAGCTCACATCATCATAACCTATATCGTCATTATTAACATTAAAAGCAAAAGGAAAAGGGAAAAGAAAGTAAAGTAATGTGTTACAAATGACGTTGTATCCTTTATTCTTATCCTCACACGAAAACATTTCGGTCATAATCATTAAGCAAAGGTAAACTGTTAAACTGTTGGTTTTCATCGGCTTTGTTTTATGATGACATATGTAATGTGAAAAGGTTCCGTATCTGAAAAAATACATTTTAGAGTTTCACAAAGGCTTACATAACGCACAAAGACGGGGGGTCACGGTTTAAAATCTTGACAATATGATGACAATGATATTACAGAAATATTCTTCTCCAAAGAGAAAAGACTGATACATATGCTTAGGATGGACGCGCTGCTGTAAGTAAAATCACACTTGCACTGAGCACTGCTGTTTCCGTTTTCATGACCTTGCTCTCAACAAAACATTCTGCTGATGAACGATCTACCTGATTATTTTGTACAATTTGTGCATGTTAGCTGTATGAACTGACCTAATACGAAAACCTTTTACTGTAAATAAGTATGAATGTAACTCACTTGGAGATAATATGTACTTACATGCTTATTGGGTTAACCAAGAAGGCTGCAACATGGCCTTCAATGCATTTTGTTGATAGCTTGCTTAGATAGTGTATCAGATATTGGTGTGTATGAAAATCTGTGGTTGGATGTGGTGGACTGGTGGAATTTGATCTGTGAGACCCCTTAAATTGATGAATCAATGTTTTGGTTGCACAAGATCTACGTTTTGACACAGAAATCTGAAATAGTTTGCATCAAACAATCCAGTGTATATTCACTGCATATGGATTCAGAAGCCACCTTCTCTTATTTGAGCTATTTCAAACAGATGATACATGTTTCTCTCAATTACGCCACTTTATTCAAACAAGATGTTATGTCCTCTGAATAAAACCAGATGATGATGTGGTCGAATTTTCCAGATATCTTTTTGGAATTAAAAAGAAAAACAGATGCATGGTCGGCTTGTCGAATTTTCGTTGTGCCCATGTCTGGCCTGCTATTGGTGCTTGTTTACACGGCACCCACAGGCGATTCTGATTGGTCTCTTTCCTCACGTGACTAACCAACTTTGTACATTTGACAGGGGGAGTAGGTGGGTTTTGGAGAGATCAGGAAAACGACAGCGCGATAAAAATTAGAATTGTTGCACTTCACAAATTAATGACCATGAGTTCCTACTTGATCAATTCGAATTACATCGAGCCCTCTTTCCCGCCGTGCGAGGAGTACCAGCAGAACGGCTACATCCCCGTCTCTTCTGACTACTACGAGCGACCGAAAGACTCGGGTTTCCCCCATCACGAGGAGGCAACATATCCGCGGTCAAACTACCAAGACCCGAGCTATGATTACGGTAACGTCTCAAGCAATGGTCTCGTGGATTTCAACGATCGACATCACGTACAACCTCAGTCCGTTCCCCCAAATCACGGGCCCCACCTCAACACCGAGAGCTGCGCTGGAACGACGGCAACCAAGGATTGCAGCCTCGCCACAGAGGCTCTCCCTGCCCCACCGAAGGGGAAGGAGCCAGTGGTCTACCCCTGGATGAAGAAGGTCCACGTTAATACGGGTAAGTATTTGTCACGCTCGATTAAACACCGGTAACCCATTGGAAAACGTTCATCGGAGCGCTTGAGGTGAACATGCTCAGTAGCATTTTCGTTCCTCGTTTGGGCGATTTACGACCCCGGAGACGCTGACTCGGTAATTAGGAACCCTCGTAAATTTTATCGCCTGTTTTGTTTCTGCCGAGCCATCTGCTTCTGTTTCGAACTCAAAGGCTCCCCATCGTTTATTCAGTGTTTTCGTTAATAATTATCCTGGCTCTGGGCATGTTGGCTCGCATACAATAGCTCCGAATTAGACACATCAGGGCTGTCTAAAAATGAGGCGCGCTGTCAGTAACATGTAGCCCTAATCGTGCAACCAACACCACGTCGTCTACTGTAGCCTGCTCCTCTTCAACACTGTTATAGTGACTCATTGGAGTTCATGGTCGTTGATGACCGTGAATATTGATAACACCTGCCTGCTGTTTGTTTGTTTGTTTAGTGACCGCTAACTATTCTGGAGGAGTGCCCAAGAGGTCTCGCACCGCCTACACCCGCCAGCAAGCTCTGGAGCTTGAGAAGGAGTTTCACTTTAACCGGTACCTGACCCGGCGTCGGCGGGTGGAGATAGCACACACTATGTGCCTGTCAGAGCGACAGGTAAAGATATGGTTCCAGAACCGTCGCATGAAATGGAAGAAAGACCACAAGTTGCCCAACACGAAGGTCCGCTCTGCCAGCTCCTCGACCCCCAACCACCAAGTCAAAACGGACGCGAGCCAGCAGCAGCAGCAGACACTGCTTCCCACGCCATGCTCGTCGAGCCTATAGTGATGGAGGAACGTCAGAAGCAGCAGAACTGAGCAAGACAGAAGAAAACAGAGCAGTATTCGGATCGGAGCTTCACAGGGTTACTTTCTATTCCAAAATGGATGGGGCAGCCTCAATTCACCCTCCTTTCTCGCCTCGCTTACCCCATGAAATCAAATAACCTGAGCTGGAAAATCCGCCCATTTAACGTGGTCAGATAATTGTGTTTTTTCTTCTTTTTCATGGAACAATGACAGAACACAACTAAACTCGAAGTATGGCTGTTTGCTATTGAAATGAAACCCTGTTAAGCACTATTGTTGTGGACAGTAAGCATGGAGCTTGCATTTGGGTCGGAGTCCCGTTTATGGAGATGGGTCAAGTGAAGCATGTACAAATCTCATGAAGGCACAAATGTAGGAACAATCTCGTCCTTAAATGAGGAAACCCTAAATTTTGTTTGTCTTAGTCCCAAGTATTTGAGTGTGTTCTGTATGACGTCATCCAAGCTGTGAATAATCGTGTATTTAGTTATCTGTATATTGGTGGATATGTCATGCTGTTTTAGTATATGCAAGTAATTGTATCAGTGGATAATAATAAATGCGTTTATTGTGAGCAGTCTTTTCAGATAATCCACGGGTAAGACTGAATTTAGGATAGGCCCGTTTAGTCCAACTACAGGCACAGGCTACTGACGACGCTTCACACGCATTAGGCAATGCCTAAGGAGCTGCACACTGTATCAACACATAATTGTTATTTATAAAGGCCAAAAGACAATTTCATGAGAATAAAAGTGAGCACTTGCCAACGTAACTTACATAAAATGAGGTCTAAGTAAACACAGTTCAGTTTGAATTGCAGGCATGAACCACAGTGAATAAACATAATTGTGCCTATTTGAACTCCTGACAGAGCCATAGAACCCTGAACAATTATTAAAGGTGGAATTTGGACATTTAGTTTCCAAACCAAACAAATCAACACTGTTTGACTTACCAGATCAGACTTACGCTCAGGTTATCATGGAATTGTACTTGGAGGTACGCGCCAATTCCACTTAGTTCAGTTTCAAAATAATTAGTGATAGATACTTATATTTAACCTTTATGTAAATGTCAAAAATGCACAAAAGGCTAATAACAGACGTTACTGAATACGGACAGTTCACAAATGAAATACGACTTAAAATATAGCAAAACAACTAAACATAGTCCTCAATTCATTGGCAAATGTATACATTTGAATGAATCTAATTGTGTAAGTAAAATAAACAAACGTTAAATAAATATTTCATGAAACCTGTGAAAAACATTACTGCCTTTAAAGTCAGTTACTCTGACTCACGGTTCTTTTTTCTTCAGCAAAGACATCATTCGACAGCAGTCGTTTATATAGTTTCTGTAAATATACGACTGCGTCTAATTTGAGTCATATATATATATATATATATATATATATATATATATATATATATATATGTGTGTGTGTGTGTGTGTGTGTGAGTGTGTGTGTGTGTGTGTGTGTGTGTGTGTGTGTGTGTGTGTGTGTGTTGAATGACCGTTCAAAATGGCCCAGCTTTACATATAACCTGTTTCACTAATAATTATATTATTGTGCCTCAGCTGTGCTGTGATTTTAATATTTGTATAGATTAACCTACAGTGCAAAGAAAACTGAATTTCGTGATTTTTCGTGATATCCCGAAACATGTGCCATCGTTTAATAGCCTAATCGAATACGGCCTTCTCTCCTCTTGATGGGTGCATTTATCATGACCGTGTGCCCTTAACGCCCAACATTTGTTAAAAACTATTGTTTTTGCACTTTTCAGTCAAAATATATGTTTTAGTGGTATATGTTACTGTTATGTGAAAAAATGATGCATATAATTGCATAGACTAATCCATAGGCAGTACTGTCGGTTCAGTGGTTATCATGTTTGTTCTCTCGGGACTCAGACGTGATCCAGAAGGGGGGTGCTAGACTTCATTTTGTAAGCTTAGATCATGCATTTGTAACCTCTTTCCTTGATGTAAACACTTACAGCCATTTCAGACTTGACGTCCACTAATGTACCAGTTTATAAATAAGGTAATTGATGTTATTAGTTCTAAAAAATGCAATTATGTTTTAATGTTTGAAAGCTGAATCTTATTTTATATTAAAGTAGTCATATTCTCATAACTGTGACCACATGCGCCACGTATGACCAAATGTGACAGGGATTTGTCCATCAGTTGTTTCGTTATCGACTGGACAGTACTCTCTTCTGGACTAGTGCTGGGCGGAATATTAAACTCCAATTTTAAACTTGTTGGTTCAGCAGTTACAAAGGCTTTCGAGGTGAAACAAGCAGTAAGCATGTTCACACACTCTTAGTAAAGTGGCTTGTTAATCTCTGAGAGTCACTGAATGATGCTGAAAGATATACTTTTTTTGAGGGATCATGTTACTTTGTACTAAATCGCGTATTTCGCTCATGTACTTCTGCGCAGTAAGTTAGACACATTTAGCTTTTAGTCTATTTTGTTTTCTAGCTGTGTTATGTTAATAAGCATTACCATTGGAGTTTTTATCTATAGCACTTGTTGGTTGCGACCTTACTATGACTCTGAACTGCACTCTTATAGAAATGTTTATTGTAACAACAGACCCCCAAAGCTCTTTTTCTTCGAAGTTGATAAAAAAATGGTGCCGTGTCAGGCAGTACCTGCTGGGCTCCAATCGCTTTGAGTTCACGCAAAGGACACAAGAGAACTGTCCAATCATCAAACTCCAGCACTATGAACGACCCCTAACCTTTGACCTCATCATCTCCAAGGCCCTCTCATGCACGGCACATTTTTTTCCTGGACGCATGGGGCAGTAGTGGAGCTTGAATAGCCTACATACGCTAAAGAGGCAGTTGATCGGGGCTAAGCTCGTAGAAAATACATTGCCATGACCCAGTAAGTCAAGACCGAGGACAAAATCAGGGACCAGCGGTGCTGATCACAAATGCGAAAGTAGCCTCATATTCTTCAGCGAATTCATCTCAAATGGATAAATCAATACAGACTAAAATCAATGGTAAAACCAACGTTTATAACTAACTTATACTTGCTAAACTGTTTTCATGCCTGACTGAAGTACTTCCTCTCGTTTAACTTAAAATGTATATAATCTGATCGTCTTAAAAATTTGAGTTAACTGAACACATATACAATATTTGAAGTTCAGTAATGTGAATATTTGAGGGCAACAATGTAACTAACTTTTTAAAGACAAAACAGTTTTTTTTCAGCCCTCATATGCAAAGGTATTATATGTGCACAAAACATTTAGACACCAGCAATTATATTTCCCTACATGCGTGGACTGGTGAAGTGGATACGTTTCCTAAAAGATTAATTAGTGGATTAGTAAAATAATACAGTGCCATAGCACGAAGGGGAATCAAATGTACCTATATCTTACTGCAGTTTACTGAAGGTTCATGGCATGTGTTGTAAAAACAGGCTAATCTAAGTGCCATTGCACTTTTCACTTTTACAATGAAGGCTAGATTTTCATAGTGTGACATTAGACAGAAAAAAGAACATTTAGTGAATTAAATATTTCATTGCAAGGCTGTCTGATACTTCCTTGTTGAAGATCTCGACAGACAGGAAATTTAAACTTCCAGACGCGCGCGGACTGAGGCCGCCTCTCAATCTACCGTGCTTAAATTTTAATTGACTCACGTGACCTTATTAAATAATACATACCTCTAAGTCAGAAATAGATACAGGGGATTCGAGAATGATTCTCATTTTATCGTCGACCGTCGATCCAGCGACCACCGAGTCCCCTGTCTCGAGATCTTCTTTCTCTCACAACTGATCTACAAAGTAGCGCCACTCCAACGTAAGTGACCTAAGCAGCTAAAATACTTTTAAAGCATGCCTTCTTCATCATATCGCTTTTTTTTTGCATCACTGATAGCATAATGTTGGAGAGTGAGTGGGATGAGTGGAAGATTTATTGGAGACGTTTTTGAGTTATTATTTTGATTGCCTAATAAGATTTCTCCAGCAATCTCTGTTTTAGCTTGTAGTTAAAGTAAGTCGAGAAGTTGTCAAGAATTTCCCTGTGTCTGGAGGTTTACAATGCAAATACAGCAGGGCTACAGGTCAGGTGGAGTTGTAGGCGGCTGTACAACTTATATGATAACCAAGCATATGAAAAACACAACAGCAGAAGAACGGTAATAACATTAGCTTGTACGCACATTTAGTACTGCAGTTTGATGGTTGACTTTAAACATAGTAATAAACTTTATGGGCTTTATAGATTTCCAAATAGTTCCGAATAAATCTAATCAAACGCGAGTTTTCCAACGTTCACCAGTGACAGATACTTTCACGCAATGATATACAGCTTATTTTACGCGTGTTTCGCATGTAGTCTATGTTAACTACTTTTCGCTGACTTTAAACAAACAAAAAAAGGCAAATAGTCAACGTTACATATGTATGCTATTCTTTATTGATTTTTCATCTTTTCTCCAAAACACATTAGTTTTGTTCCGGCCGCAGAAATTTGAAATGGCCTTTTCGTTTGGTGCATGAATGACTGCAGTGTTCGCTTTGAGTGAGGTTATTCTCAAGACTCTCGGCAAATAAAAGCGCTCACTCAGCTGACTGGTTACACATTAACTAAGCTTACAAACAACGGCAATATTCCAGTGTAAAAGAAACTGATGTGTTAAAACTGAAACAACAACAATAACAACAACAACAACAATAATAATAATAATAATAATAATAATAGTTTTGAGGCATTGAAAACTCATACTTCTGGCGTCTTCACCAACGCAAGGAAAGCATGAATAGCACATTAAATTAATATCATGAGGAAAAAAAATCTCTCTCTTTTTTTCAACACAAAGACAATTTTGCGTCTGGAGCATTTGGATTTCAAAATCAGCGCAGTTACACTTTTAAAATGACCAAAATCGTGAGGCGGTTCCAAGGGCGATGAGTGTCGTTTTGTTATTATTAACCTTGAAGTTGGCGGCTATAAACTCAGAGAGGAGAGTTGTCTTCGGATGAGTGCGGTGGTAACCTTAGCCTTGCTGTAAGAGCTCCAAATGTCAACATCGAGGAGAGATACGCTCCTTTCCTTGGCGAAGCTCCATGGAACTTCAGGAGTAGAAATCCAGCCCAGCGAACTGTCTGATAAGTCTTTAATATGGAACAATCTGTTGATCGAAGAGCCGCGCGCTGCATGTCAAAACGAGGCTTCATGTCCTTTGTTGAAAATCCCAGCCACACCATTTTAACGTAAAGTTGTTGCGAAGAGTGAAAATTAAGTTCAGGTAAGATAATGGAAACTCCGGGACCTTTTGCCAAAGCCAGAGACAAGGGGGCTTCTCTCCGCGTCTCGTAGCCTCATAGCACGCTTCCCAGTTCCAGAAGGCACGCGAGTCTGCGCGAAAGAAAGAAAAGACATAACTTTGCATCCATTTGTTGATCATAATTGTAAAATCGTTTACCATTCAAATAAGTAGCCCAGTCTCCGGAGAAGCGGAACGTCACAGGTGATCTGGATTAAAACTTAATACAATCTTCACAAAGTCGTGGGCACCGTCGGGCTGTCTCCAAACTTTCTTCAAAACAGTTTACAAGACGACGACGGTTTTTCGAAACCGACTACGTTTGAGCACGTTTATATTTCCTTAGGTTACAAATTTTCATGGGACAAAGTGAGGGCAGAGAATGGGGAGAGGCTTCATGCCCGACTGAGTTGATTAATTGTCCTCAAGACTGCCACATCCGCTCGACACGTCTGCGGTTTAAACACTGTGTTGCCGGAAAACTAGAGACAAAAAGTGCCAAGCTGCTATCTCACAGCTCCTCGCACATATTTAAATGCTACCATTTTGTTTTGCTTTGTTTCCTAAATGTCATCACTTTGCAGATGACTGAATATAACCCAGATCCTTTTATTATAAATTATGTCAGATTATTGTCTGAAATTCAGGTTCATACATGACTTCAGACCTGCGTAAGGCGCGCGGCTTGAGCATTTCAGGAGCGTTCAACTGCTGACTTGACGTTCGCAGCTGCATACTTGGGTAACTTGACTGGAGTCTTGGGCACTGCGCGTGTTGAACGCAATAAGGTTTGAGCCTTTTTCCATGCGTTTTGTAAAGTGACAAAATGATGCACCGTGGCCACCGGGAGAGGGCCACCTTGCGCACATGAGCGCTCTACTGCTCGCCTACTGCTGCACAAATTACATTTGATAGTTATTTTGTTATCATACAGGGAGAGCATATGAGCTCCGTTGTTAAAGAAGGGAAGCGGTGGGGGTTAGCTCTGAAAAAAAGCTGGGAGCCCTTAGCCCTCCGGATAATGGGAAGAAACGCCAATGTTGAGTGATCAGCATGCCAACCATAAAACAGGGATTTCCTCGCGCAGAAAAGCTGAAGCCCCTCCACTCATTTGCACCCATTCATACACTCTTCAACTTTTAACAGCCCCCCTCTCCCCATGCGTTCACACACCGCGCGCCGTCCATTACGCACATACGTCGACCACCATCACCACAAGCTCATTAACAGCAAGTCACCTGATAAAAGTACATCTAATGCGAGGTGCTAAAAGTTTTCGACGAGCTTCAACGCCCCAAAAAAGAAGACCACCTCAGACATAAAACCGAAGTTTTTGGAGCTGAAGTAACGGGGCCACTAGTACTCCTTGCTTATCTTCTCTTCAGTGATCCTTCTGCCTGGCAGACAGCCCCCATTAATGATTCACAGATTCAAATAAAGGTTTTTAAGCTGGATCACGTGAATCACGTGAGCAGGGCGCATAATATGGGGTTTGAAATAATGGTAAGGGGCTGGGGGTGGAGGGTGGGGGGGTTGCGTGTGAGCAAGCCTTGGTCTGGTATGGTGCTGACTGCGCGAGCCCACTTCACGAGAGTGGGGTCGGGCCATTGTGAACTATACTGCGAGTGAGAGATAGATGGATGGATAGATAGAGGTGCTGAAAAAGAGAGAGCGAAAGAGAGAGAGGGGAGCGTTTTATGGATGATATTAAACTACTGTCATGGACGAGCGTGTTTTTCTTTACGGAGAAAGAGAGGGGACCCGTGCGCGACGAGGATGGATTTTATTTTGAGGTATTTCCGTTGATTGTTCATTACTCTCATGAGTTATTGCGGCTCAAGGAAAAGGTCAGTGGCAGCATAGGCTCGCCCCAGAGCAGAGGACGACACAACCCAGGATTATCCATAAAGTTAGTTATTATTACAATGTTACATTAGCAAGTAATCGACTTTAATTAATTGCATTAAAGATATTTAACAATCAGTGTTAGACATAAAGCGCACTTACAAAGTAGTCAGGAACCATGTATAGCCAGATTCCATGTCATTCATCATGGGCAACTGCTAGTGGTCATATTTCTTGATCAAGACTCAAAGTAGAAATCAAACCCATTCGCTGCTATGTTCTGCCTGAAACCAGCTGGCTGGACTGTTGGAGCTTCTGTTTTACTGTTTTTATTTCTTCTTTCTTAAATTTTATAACAACAATGGAGACGTATTGTCTGGTGAGATCTTGGCCCATAGCCCGTTTGTAAATAAAATCTAAATGAGTCAGTTATAAGGTTTTGTATCTTTATTCCTTTACAATGCATTGACTTACATTATTATTCCCGTTACATAAAATGTCTTATGGTAATTCTGCACTAACATTTGTGATTAAAATATTTTGGTTATGCTCTGATATAGCCAACTCCAGTAATTCAACCAACTCTATTTTGTATTTCAAAATATTTTGTCAGTATTAACGTGTGCAAGTTTAAAATTGCCAATTTTCAGGATGAATAAGTTAAATATTTGCCCAATCTTTGTCCAATCCGCCAGGACTCCTTTTCTGTGACTGCAGAACGTGGTTATGGTTTATAAAACATCGCTACTTTGTAGAGAAGTGTGTAAACGGGCTATTCCCCGGAAGAATAAATCACAAGACAGCGAATAAAACTCCATGGAGGCAGCGGCGGGTTGTTTGATGTGGGAGCTCGCGAGGGAAACGAGGATATAATGCAAGACGGAGTATCATCCAGGAGCGCGCAACTGTGCCGAGGTCACGGCGCTCCAGCCTTGATTTATGGGCTGGGGGACTTTGGGCGGCCGCTGCTCACGAGCTAATGACTATTCGATCCAAATTCACTAGCAAGGAAACAGAGAAATTGGAAAGAAAGAAAGAAAGAAAGAAAGAAAGAAAGAAAGAAAGAGAAAAAGAAATAACGCGGAGATGGTGCATTTGTAAGCGCATTCTATTGTAATTGCTACTGGCCTATTTATCTCGATTTCCAATATAGACTTTATTAACGTTTTCAAGACGTTTCATGTTGAGTTAAAGCTTTGTAATTTCGCACAGAACCACATTTTACCAGATATTCCTAGCCTTGGTTAAATTACAATAATAATAACTAATAACTAATAATAACATTAATTTTAAATTGCACGAGTTGTTATATAAACAGCTGTATAAGGTCAGAACTGGTTTAATACAGTAACTGAATTTTATTTTGCATCGTTTGAAACTTGATTTTTTTTTATTAATAGATTTACGTGTACTTATTAATATTTGTAACCAAACATTAATGCTGAAAAGTCAGATAAGCTGTAGTTTCTCGATTATTAGGTTATTTGCGCTCTTTTCATTTTCAGCTGGGCTTCTGTTATTTTATTTATTTATTTTTTTTTGTGAGTGTGCACTTCCATATTTTAATTTATCTGAGCGTTCTGAAATTTAGCATTTATGCTATTACGATACAAATAAAATATAGTCATTACACTATAGTTCGAATGTATGATGAAGCTGTAAGATGGAAAATATTTATTTATTTATGTATTTACTTGTTTGTTTGTTTGTTTCTTTATTTAATATCCATTTGCGTTCTCTTTCTGCAGACTTCTGCCTTAGTGAAGCTCACCCAGTCGTAGGCCCGCGAGAGACGGTGTCCCTAGCAAGGTGAGTTCAAATGGGAGACCACTCATCGATTATCGCTGTGAGCTGGCTTTTTATTATACACTTATATTTCTTAATGAAGGTTGACACTCTCCCTCTCTCTCTCTCTCTCTCTCTCTCTCACACACACACACACACACACACACACACAGCTAGGAATTATTCGCTCTCTTCCACGCATCTTAGTGATGCAATTACAAAGTGTCCTCTTGGAGCACTTCAACGAGAACATCTTCGTTTCTTCCTCACGCTTTCTTAATTTAGTGATAGACCAAATCAGTGGAATAAGGCGACGAGGAGACGGAGTTTGATGCAGGATAGCTTTCCAAGCCTTTGTCTCTCCAGCTGTAATGCAGGATCACTTGGCTTCTTGACTATTGCATTGACACTTAACCTCTAAGATTAGCACCTCGTCAAAGAAACCCCCGAGTCATCACTTTAATAAAAAACAATGGAGTAAATAATTATCCGCCACCTTTTTTGTTCAGAAATGCTGAGCACATGTAAAAATGCACACACATGGATTTTTAGGATCCCACTCACCAGCCCACGCCGTCCTTCCGCTTCTCTCTCTCTTTTTTCTGTTCGCAATCTGCATCTCCTTCTCGCGCAATGTTTACTGTTTACAGCCGTGGGGAAGTAAATCGAGTTTGGCCGAGAGCAGCCACTGACAATTCGTTTGCCATCCTAAATCACGCCTCTAAATCTCTGCAGCTAAAGATGCCAAACACGAGGGTGTCCATTTCCTCATACATTGGTGTTTGCTATTGTTTTTGAATTTTTTGTCTCTTGATTTAGCAAAGTGCTTAAAATTCAGTCTCGGCAATGAATGAAATGTGCGTATTTTCCATATAAGATCATATAAGAGCCATCAGATTTCACGAGATGCATTCTCTCAAACCATTTTAGAAGGTTTGTGTTCAGGTTATTCAGCCCATGCTAAAGTAGTAGGCCAGCATTTTCTGTTGGACCCATTTTTTAAGTGTTTTATAGCTATTTGTCATTCTGTTTTCGTTGGATTCTGCGCTCTATTGTCTGTTCACGCTAAATGAGAGCGATACAGAGTCTTGGTTTAAGACGCCGATTCATTTGCATAATTTTTCTTGTCTGCGGTGACGCTCCGTTTCGAGGGAGTTCACTGGGGTGTGCGCGTGTGTGCGCGCGAGCGCGTTCATGTGTGTGTATGTACACGTTGAAGGGCTCACTAGAGCGCAGCCCATGGCCGGGTTTAATATCGAGCTTAAGAACACGGCCACTTATTCGGCATGTGATATGTTCAGGCGCGAGGGCAGCGGCCTGTGTTCTCTGACCGGGGCGCGCGGAACTGCTTTTGTATAATCTCGCGATTTTTTGACCGATCTACAACTGCGGTGGGGGGAGAAGAGGGGGTAAAACAGAGAGAAATAAAGAAGAAAGGAATTTTTGAGTACCCTTCCAGCTGGAGTCATTCTCCGCTTCCTTTCACGGCTCCCCCCCTCATGACTCCTGCAAGTGCAGCAGCTCGCGCTTTCTCGCCGTCTTCCCGATTGAACTTTTCTCCGGAGCCGCGTTTGATCGATTTGGGCCGCTGAATGAGAGGAGCTCGCGCCGTGCTGCGCGCTGCTCGTCAGAGGGGAAGGTAAGCTTTAAGCGAGCGAGAAGCGAGAGCGCCTGTTAAATGGCGAAGTTTGTGATTTATGACCGCGCGGCTGAAATCTCGGTTCAGGAAGAGTTCACGCTCACACATACACACACACTCACTCGCTCACTCACTCGCAGGCGAGCCAGATTCCTCCCGCGCGGCAGCGGGGGTCTCCATACTCTGTGGCTCGAGCCTCTTTTTTCCTACAACTTTTTGTCTGTGTGAGTGAAACAGAGAGAATTAATGTGGGCCAAATTTGGAAGACTTGCCTAGAAATAGGAGAAGCCTTGTCATTTAGCTTCACATACTATACATGTACTTCATTTCTGGCCTTTAGCCTTCTGTTTGCGCAGATACTCCTGCTTAATGAGCTTTTCCTGTTTTTTTTCCACACGCACAAACACACACGTATATATATATATATATAGAGAGAGAGAGAGAGAGAGAGAAATATATATATATATATATAGAAATATATTAAGAAAAAAATATATATATATTCTTAATGCATACATATTAAATTGTATTATTGTTATTATTATTATGTTTATTTTTATTGCTATTACTGCTACTACTAATGTTGTTTTTGTTGTTGTTATTATTATTAATTGTTGTTGTTGTTGTTATTGTTGCCGATCGTTTTTCTTGCTACTGTAGGCTACAGTAAAATCACATACGGCTGCTTAACTAACTGAAGGAAATTTAGCTTTGGGAAATCTTAGTCATAATTTTCCACTAATTTCTGATTAAATTATTTATTGTTTAAAGTCAAAATTTCATAATTACCTGTGATGCAAATTAATATGTACATTAGGACTGAATAAAAACGCAAATTGACCTATGTTTATAAAATATAATGTTAATTCCTGTATCTAAAGACATTTTCGGACGGATTTTAATTTACAATTTCCTTTAATATATTTATTTGCTCTCAAACTCTCAATATCTAACCTCTTCTTAAGCACTGATTATCTGCTACAACAGCTCGATTGGATGCACATTATGTGTCGCCTAATCTGTAAGTTGTACCGGATGGATTTATTTCGTTTTTTTCCCCGCAATTTCCTTTAATGTGTTGGCTGTCGTTGCACACACATAAAGCTGCCTGCCATCAGTTACCGGGGTTTCGTGCTGCCTCTCTCTCTCTCTAACGTGGTAACCCTCATACATCAACCGGTGCTGTGTACACGCCGACAGCAGCCATTATTATGGGCTGGCGAGGAAAGGTTCACGGCGTGGTCATAGAGACGCGAGCCCGCCCGGTTTTTCAGGTTCCCCATAGGACCTCCATCCATCTTTGTTGTGCGTACACGAAAGGTAGGGAATGCGGTCGTTATGGTGTCGTGGACAGCTGTGGAGAGCGACCTGAAGTTGAGACTGAAAAAGAAGGAAGTTCCTTCGACGGTCGAACCTGAACCCACATGCAGAGAGCTGGATTTAGAGGAAACAGCCTGCAGATCCGCCAATAAACCAAGGACTTGCTAACATGTTGTATAACTACTGTTTTAGCCAAACTCGTATTGTAAATAATGGTGACTTCGCCTTTGAGACTTTGAGACATTCATTGAAAACATGGCCTTACGTCACGGTGGTAGATAGATTGCCCGTGTTCTTCAAGTTCAGCAAAATAAAATGCAGTTGTCTCACTCGTAGAGATAGGCTAACCCTACACTAATTTGAAAAGCGTGTTCTTCAAAGCGATGGAAAAGAAGAACAACTTTTGGTTCCTTAAAGAGCCTTTCAGTGAATAGTTCTTTAATTAACCTGTAAATCCTTTAAGTTGAAACAATTTCCACATAGTATAAAGGTTCTACGTCCAAGCCAACCATGTAGAAGCCTTTATTTTGTACATATGTACTCTTGAGGTGGCCTTTATTTTGATGTAACGGTTTTCCAAGTGTCTAGGTGATTGTTTATTTGGATGTAGTCTCTGCATTGTCAGTATTCACGGTGCTATGTTGGCTGGGTTATGTTGGCTATTGTTGCAGTCCACCATAAGGTAAGTGGCGACCCACTCTCGCGATCTCTCCCTGGTGTCAGGCAGGCTTTGAAAAGTAAGATGGATAGGGCCTATTTCACTCGCTCACCATATCTCCTTTCGCCTTAGGTTCACCCGAGGAGCCCATTGGCGGAGAGGAGTCACGTGACCACGTTGTGCCAATGTTCTTCTACAACGGTGTCAGGACCCTGTCAGCTAGTGAAATAAACATTGGGAAACGGCGAGATGCAAAAGGCGACCTACTACGACAGTTCGGCAATTTACAGTGGCTACCCCTATCAAAGTGCAAATGGCTTAGGTTATGATGCCAATCAGCAGCAATATCTCCAGGCCCTTCATGTGGAAAGTGACTACCACCGGCCGGCCTGTTCCTTGCAGTCCCCTGCCGGCTCCGCGACGCTGCACAAGCCCAGCGAAATCGCGGAGGGCTGCCTGCAGAGCAAAGGAACCCAAGCGACCCCAGCACCCGACGATGATCAGCCCCCCGCCGTTTCTGCAGGGGTGCCTTCTCCCAATGCCCTGACTCAAAACCCAAGTAATGGCCAGAATGCAAAGAACCACGGCTCCCCAACTTCGGCCACCCGCAAGCAAATCTTCCCCTGGATGAAGGAGTCGCGTCAGAACACCAAGCAGAAATCCTCTAGCACCAGTTCAGGTGATTACAACCATTAGTCTGCAAAATAAAATATTAAACATACCATGATATTCCATGATACTCCAAAAATACATGGGGCGAAGTAATGTGCTTTTGTAAATCAGTCGCAATCAGTAAATAAGTGTAATTGCCTAAACTGTGGTTCGTAGCGACAGAGAGGTAAATAGTACTTAACAGTTTCGAGGAGATTGAACTGATATAGGTAGCATGAGAACTGGTTGTTGTCCCGAGCTGTGTTAAGACTTAAGCAGTTTGTACAACTTGGTAAGCTGAATAGCGTAAATATAATTCAGAATGGGCAACGCTAAAAAAATGGTTCATGACTGAAATGTGTCTAATAAGATTTATCGACATAAATGCTTTCTTTAAGTTTACTTGTTTCGTCAATAATTGTGCTCACGTACTACATTATATTTATATGCAACCCCTCAGTACGTTTGAATTATGTATATATTAAAAGCACATTTTTGTTGTATAACTGCCTTCAATGGGCTATTGCCATTAAACCAGTTTGGAATCTGAGATTTCCTCTTATCAATCCACATAGGCAACTGTTAGGTTATGCTACAGGCTAACGTTGCTTGTTGGTCTCTCAAGACTCACTTAGATAGTTAGTCTAACTTCGCTAACTTTCATTTAGACCTGATCGAAAACTACAAATTCGAACAGTGGCATATTAGACTACGCACTTAACTACCTAATAATTAAACAAATATATTAAAATTTATTTCAGGCAAACCACTTTCCTTTTTTGCAAAAAATGTGTTCTTGTAGTTACATTACTCAGTGAATCGTTTACGCCTGTTATATAGATTGGTAATAGTAGAGCGACCATGCTGCTGTAGGCCACGGTAATCCACACAAATAAACAAACAAACCAGACACCTGTTTTAGTTTGTCACCGTCCAAAATGGAAGTTAACGAATCTATCTATCTATCTATCTATCTATCTATCTATCTATCTATCTATCTATCTAGCTAACTAGCTATCTATCTATCTATCTGTCTGTCCGTCTATCTATCTATCTGTCTATCTATCTATCTATCTATCTATCTATCTATCTATCTATCTATCTATCTATCACATTGAGCTGTACTGTAATTCAACGTCTATCCATTGACCCTGCACTGTGTATCTGTACACTCTGCTGATCAGTTAGCTAATGATTATTTATTTATTTATTTATTTATTTATTTATTCATTCATTCATTCATTCACTTATTTAAGTGATTATGCTTATCATTGTCAGGTTGTTTAATATGTTTATTCATACACCTTAGAAACAGAAAAAGAGAAAGAAACTATTTCAAAGTTTAAAGCCTAAAGACAACCATAAATAAGAAAATGTGTAGTTAAGATTTCTAACACATATAATGCATACACTCATTCACACTGAAATTTGAGGAGTAAAAAAAAATACACCCAGTATGTAATGTCAAAAAATATCGTTTCTCTGATCCACTTCCTGTGTATCTCTCTCTCTCTCTCTCTCTCTCTCTCTCTCTCTCCCTCTGTGTACTTCTTTTAAAAATTGTAAATATGAGTGTATTTAGTTACATTTGTTTATTTCAGCCTTAAATTTCTGTTTGCAAAATCGGATTAAACACGCATTTAATAAGACGCTGTATTACACAAGAGGCAGGAATTTAATGAGGTGTTTGCATTCCGCTAGGGGCGCTGTTTTGCCCCTGTGAAAACTGTTCATTGAGCCGAATGCAACTGTGTATGTGTTTCACTCGGGTTTATTTGTGAAACCTTCATCATAGAACCGTGTGGTTATCATATTATAATTGCTCATTACACTAACTGGTGTCTCCTGTCTTTATCACTCAGTGGAGAGCTGCCCCGGAGACAAGAGTCCTCCCAACTCCTCCGCCTCCAAACGCGCCCGGACGGCGTACACCAGCGCTCAGCTGGTGGAGCTGGAGAAGGAGTTCCATTTCAACCGCTACCTGTGCCGCCCGCGACGAGTGGAGATGGCTAATCTCCTCAACCTGACAGAGCGCCAGATAAAGATCTGGTTCCAGAACCGCAGAATGAAGTATAAGAAGGATCAGAAGGGGCTCGGGATGATGCCGTCACCGGGGGGACAGTCCCCGCAGAGCCCGGTTCTACCATCTTCCGGTGGGATGGGCGGGGGAGGGGGTGGATACTTAAGCTCGATGCATTCTATGGTCAACAGCGTGCCCTACGATGCCCCGTCCCCGACCCCCTATAGCAAACCTCAGTCCAACGCCTACAGCCTTCCTACGTCATATCCACCTCCTCTCAACACTTCCTTGAGCAGCAGTTGCCCGCCTTCTCAGAAGCGCTATTCGGGAACGGGCTCGGCCACGCCTGAGTACGACACGCACCATCTCCAAGGCAACAATAACTATGGGACGCATGTGCAGGGCAGCCCCGTTTATGTCGGGGGCAACGGAGGCTATATGGACACCATGGCCAACACAGGGGCCTCAGTGTTCGGCCTCAGCCATCTCCCTCAGCCTCCTCATGGCAGCGTCGACTACAACGGCGCGATCACCATGGGGAACAGCCATCATCACGGCGCGTGCGAGCCAAGCCAATGCACATACACAGACCTTACACCGCACTACTCTCAGGGAAGAATTCAGGAAGCGCCTAAACTGACTCACCTATAATCTGGGATCATTGTTCCCTTTTACTTTCTCTGTCCGCTGGCACACCTTCCACTGCTTCATTGCCGCAGCTAATCTTTTCTCTTTTTTTCGGTTCTTATAGTTCTCTCGAGTGAAGTAGTTTAGTACCTTTTCTTGTTGCTTGAATAATTTTCTATGATTTTTTTTTGTTGTTGTCCAAAATAGTGTTATTAGTTCCACAGCCTTGGCGGACTGTGTTGGACACCATGCGAGGGCACATGTATGCATAATGCCACCTTTATTTCAGCATCTAATATATATATATATATATATAAATATATATATTTTAAAAAAAGGAAAATCAAACAGGGTATAGTGAACACATTTTCTCTTCTAAATGTGAATTTGAAGTTGTGTTAGGTTTGTTTGTCCACAATCGAAGATTTCTCCTTTTTTGTTTCTTATTTGCATTTTGTTGCACTTGAGGAAGGATACTCAGTTGGCTTACTGCTCGAACTCGTGCCGTGCAGGACTTTCAATCTTATTTATTTTTAACTTCAATGGACTATGAATTTCTAGTATTATGGATTGGACCCCTGAGAAGCACGGGGAGAAGGCAAAATGGAGTCGGCCATTGTTCTCTGGTTATATGTATGCTGAAACACAGCTGACCGGTGCTAACTGGCTAAGCTACCTGATAGTGGTCAAACACAATCATGCAATAAGTGTGGAGAGAAAGACAGCAAACAGAAATCTGGCATTATGAACTTTTATTTGTCTTAAATCTGTTTCAATGTCATACATTCCATGCTGCTCCAGTTGAAGTAATAAGAAATAAATAAGACAAAATGAGACAAACTGAAGTATCTATAAATGAATGTATTTGCATTGCTAGCATAATTCAAGAGGGGTCAATAATAATAATAATAATAATAATAATAATAATAATAATAATAATATCTGTTAATTAGCCTACACCTTGGATAAAACGTAGGTTTTAAAAAACAAAGCTTTTGAAGGGATATTCATAACGTTCAAATGACATAACTGAGTTTGTTATGTGGTTTTAAAGATACTCAGCATACATAATCCATGAGGTTTAGTTCTTGCGTCTCGTTGTGGGTGTGCAGCTCGAGCAGTCCAGGCCTCGCTCCTCAGAGCAAACTCATCCATTATACTGTGACAGCTTCCCAGAGCCTCGAGCAGCGCCTGTGAGAGAAAAGGCTTAACACGAAAAAAAAAAATCCTTAAAATTCTCAACATGAAACGTATTAGGAAAAGACTACTTTTTTTGTGTTTTTTTTTTTTTCATATTCATTCTCATAAAAAGCAACCGACTGTATAAAATGCACTTCCAGGAATATTCACGTGCACTAAAGTGAGGAAACACTTCAAACTAAATGAAATTATATTTGAAGCTGATCACTCGCGGCGTAAATAAGCGCTATTTTAAAAGTCTCTGCAGGGACGTCTTGTATTACCAGTTCCTTTAATTTAAAAAAACAAAAAACCCTGGTCAGGAATTAATATGTAGCTCTATTTGCGTCAGCTGTTTAGCGAAGGATTAGAATTTATTACTATAATGCGCACCAACGTCTAAATGTGCAATATTGTATAATATTTGCATTTGCTCCCGTGCACAGATTTATTTTTTAGCGTGCAATCTGAACGATCTTAAATACACATCTGTTGTTAACCTGCATTTGTTTCACGACAGCCTACATCAGCGGCTCCACGCCATATTCTTCTCGGTGTCGACGGTATTTATGGCCGCGAATCATAAAAATGACAGCGCCTCGTTTGAGCACTTTCACAATTTGCGCTGATCGAAAATCGTCTTTTCCAAAACAGCAGTGGTCTGTGGCCTCGGCGCGGCTTCTGGCATATGGTTAGCAGGACGAGCCAGAGCAACTGATCATCAGTGTGTGCACGAGAGACACAAAGAAAGAATGGGGGGTGTATAGAATGCACTGTATCATAATCAAATAAAATTGGATACTTGATGACGAATAACAAATAAGGCTAAAAACTGACTGACCATACGGTTGAATTTTATGCTGGGAAAAAATCTGTGGGTCACGTTTTCAATGCGCGCAAGACTGAAAGCCTCCCACTCACTAACCCCCAACACAAAAGCCATTTTCTCCAGTCCGCCCTCTTAAAAATTAGCTTTAAATGAAAGAACGTTTATCACAAACGAAACTATTGACTAAACAATTCTATCGAATGGAAGAATAATTCGATGTAAGATACTCACAGTTTGCGTATTGCTCCTCTGATCTTGTTCAATCCCAAAAAAAGCTCATTAGCTCGAGTGTAAGTGACGAAGAAAATGAAACAGATGCGAGCGTTTGTGAAGGGACTTTCTCTGCCTCTCTTCCTGGCTGGATTTGATCTCGGGCACAGTTAGAAGGTTTAAATGTGTTGTGGGGGTACGAGGCTGTCAGACCTTTTGGCGAGTAAGATTGATCGCGCCCAGGCTTCCATGACTCTTTGTTTAGTATATAAGCACTAAAACGGCAAGAGGCCTGGGCACTCTTTCCCTTATGTTTGAAACATGCCCTGCAAAAATGAGGGAAAAAGAAAAAAAATGCAGAGAGGCGTCCTGGTTCTAATAAGAAATAGGCTGTATAATGTATTGAAAACGGCTCTTCTTATTAACCCCTTAAAATCCCAGGATTATTACATATTAAGACTTATTATTCACTAACGACAGGGACTTTAATGCAAACTGGTTGAGCCATTCTTAGGTTATTGAAGTGTGTAATAAAACTTTGGGCCCGTCGATTTGGCCATCTAAGGGGTTAAATTTCGTATGTTATTTGAGTTTATACATATATGCATGAATTCATTAGTGCTACATAATGAGTGACCCTCCTTACGTTTACATACCGTAGAGAGAAATGCTGTACAATTGGAGTGCTTCGTTGTAATGATCACCCAGTTTCTTCGATAGCCTCCCGAGCAAATCTTCTGCCTTATCTGTTAATGGAGAAAAAAACTGATAAGAGTGGACCACAAATAAATTCATCACACTAAAATCAGCATTGCTGATTTATACCTGCATTATACAATGAAATAGCTGAATATTTAATTGTGGAGACAAAAAGAAATATTTCTTATTCATTAGATGCGCTAACTGTCAAATAATTCATCATTCAAAATAGATGCAGTATTGTTGGTGCTTATTTATATCCCACACATTAAGCCTGCATTTGATAAAGGTAGTTAAAAATTCGCGCAAATATTATAGATTGTTATAGATTTTGAGGGTATATGTACACGCGCGTGGGACTAAACGTACCTAAATGTGTGCATGAATGTATTTCTATGAGGGCAGCCTATACGTGTGCATAAGCAGGCTATACAGGACCCCACTGAAGAGTAATAGGAGCCGGGCTAAAATGTGGGAGTTGTGTCATGTCAGGATGCAGGAGATGAATGGTTGACTTTTCTAATCGGAGCAGGCGTAGCGTGGACGGCTCAGGCTGATGTGTGGGTGCAAGACTGCTCTCCTGACATTTTTTTTAAACAATACATAAGAAGTGTGCATGAGTCCGTGCGGCGATAGCAGAGGAGGGAGGAGGGACGCTCTAAGGTCCCGTCACACCGGGATGCACCGGCTACAACGAGGGAAAAAATATTCTGAACCTGATGATCGCCAAGCCTAAAGGGCATTGGTTTATTTACCGCAAAAACAGGGAAAAAAACTACAGCACCGATGTAAATAAATCTGACTTCCCACCGGGGCGATTCGCTGTTTACAGGACTGTTTTTGGATCGATCGTTTAGACAGTGGCTTCTTTTGATTAAACCCCAAATTGTCATTGGGCAGAGGCAATCATGTGACAGGCTTTCGGTCCAATTTCAACCATGTTTCCATGAATTCAATACTTTAATAGTGGAACGGTCCACCTAGGACTATAATCAGCATATCACAAACAATAAATAGCACCTATTTTGATATCAGCCTTATTATCTTTTGATCGAAGACGCTTTTTTTCCAAATCACCAACAGCGAGGAAAACTTTCCCTCCTCGCGAGACAGCGCCATGAATTACGAGTTCGAGCGTGAAACGGGTTTTATCAATAGCCGGCCGTCGCTCGCGGAGTGCCTGACGTCTTTTCCCCCTGTCGACGACTCATTTCAAAGCTCATCAATCAAGGGCCCAGCGCTCGCGCACCCGCTCATCCCGCCTCCCTTCGAGCACACCATCCCTAGCCTAAGTCCCGGGAGCCAGCCTCGCCATGGACGACCCCGGCACAGCCTGGACGGGGGCAGCCCACTGCCTGCCGCTTCGCTGCCGCCGGAGTACCCGTGGATGCGCGAGAAGAAGGCCTCCAAGAAAAACTACCACCCCGCGCAGTCCACCACCGCCGCGGTTCCAGCTACAGGACCCGTATGCTTCTCCCCAAAAGGTGAGTGGAGAGCGACCAGGGACAGGGGGGATGCTGTGAGAGATGACGGCCACTAGAAGAATGAGTAATGAAATGAGCTCGATAACTCACATCGCCATGTTGTTTCCTCAGTTCTAGGATGTACGACTGAGCTGAACCAATTATCTATTACACATACAAGTACTGTAATGAAAAGAAAGCTCTACATTGCCTATCTTGACCTTCTCTAACCATCCTTGTCGCGCCTCGATCTCCAAGACTTTTTGATATCTGACAGCAATGAAGAATGATGGATTACTGTTGTCCTGCGTAGGACTGTCTGTGCATTCATTAGATGCACCGTGAGTGGACATGAGCACGCGCCACATAGCTTAGCGTTGCAATTTATGAGCTGCAAAGCCCCTGCCAGATTCCCTTTTTATACTCTTAATCTTGTTTTATGGGGATTTTACAGACTGCACCACGGCCACTTAGTAAAGTTTAGCCATAGTCTGGTGCAAACTTCAGCTCCGCTACCTTCTAGGGAAAGACAGGCCTGAATTCTTATGCGATTTATATCTATACTCATAAGGTTGGGCGCCCTGTTGTTCCAGGTTCACCCGAGCTTCCAGCCGAGGTTGGTTTGGCCAGTGGAGGAGGAGGAGGCGGTTCGCGACGGCTGAGGACCGCGTACACAAACACGCAGCTGTTAGAACTGGAGAAGGAGTTCCACTTCAACAAGTATTTATGTCGGCCTCGCCGCGTGGAGATAGCAGCGCTGCTGGACCTGACCGAGCGCCAAGTGAAAGTATGGTTCCAGAACCGCCGTATGAAACACAAGCGGCAGACCCAGACCAAAGACAGCCAGGAGAAGCCGAGGAACCCTGCGGCCGCTGAGGACAGCGGGGCACAGAGCGATGAGGAAAGCTCTGTGTTTGAACCCAGCCTTGGTCAGGAGTCGAGGGCCCTCCGGGATAGGGAGCTGTGTTCCTTTCAACCGGAGTCATCATCAGCTCCTCAGCAGCCCCACAACGGCTCTCCAAACTTTTCCATATCGCCCCTTGGTCCTAATGACAGGAATCTTGGGCACGTCTCCAGCCCCTCACCCACGCTTACGGGCTGCGGAGCTACAACAGGCCACAGACCTCACTCCGCCAGCCCGGACAACTGCAGCAGCTCCCCGCTCGCCCTGGATGTGTCTTTGCGGGACTTCCATGGTTTCCCCACGGACTCGTGCTTGCATCTGTCTGATGCCGCCTCACCGACGCTGTGTGAATCACTGGGCACCCCAGAGCACCTATCAACGGACAACTTTTGCTTTTTCACAGACGCTTTAAGTACAATCGATCTGCAGCATCTGAGCTATTGACCACAGGAACACTGGAATAATCTAACTTTCATCAGAAGAAGTTGATCTTTATCGTTTTTATTCATATTGGCACAAGGGCCAGATAGGTTATCATTAAATGATCAAAGGTAAGATTCCCTGTGAATGCTATGTACAGACTGTATTCAGTAATATACCAAGAGACTAGAATTTAATCCTGAAGATGGATATGACTTCTGGTCTTTTTATTTTTGTAACAGGTATTTTTGTTAGAATAAATTTGCCTTTTTTCTTAAAAATTGTGTCACATTTCAATACATGCAGCCACTGGGTTGTATTACATACATGGAATTACATTTATGGTTATAAAAGTTATAAAAGTGCATGGTGTAGGTGTAACTTAGACATACACACGACGTATTATTGCATAACACTGTCCATGACTTCAGTAATATAAAAATGGACACTGAAATTTAAACACAGAAAAAAGTGCCACAGTATAAATAAACCACAACCTCTATTCTGTTAAATGATTGTGATGGTTTCAAAGTTGCAGCCTTGTTGGCCTACTGATCTGACTAAAATAATAACACAACCTTAATAACTAATAACTGTGTTATAAAATGATAACACAGATAATACAGAGGTCAAAATGTATTTACAATACAAAATAGAATTGAAAAAATGTAAAAGAGGTCCAATAATACGTTCAAAAAATTTACTTTGTAAAGAAGTTTGGAAATGTTCTGTTTTGTCCGACATCGATAAGAAGGATAACTCGAACAGCAGCAGCTACTCGCGTTCTCCTCCAGCACGTGCGCGGTAGTCTACAGTTACTTCATCTATCAAAATTACAAACTTTGGTCTGATGTTGTAAAAGCCCAACATGGCTGCTTCTTTCTAGGCTTGTGCTCTTTGTCTGGGGCGCTGCTCCAGGCTCCGCGTGGGGAAATGCCTGAGATGTTTCCCTCGCTGCCAACTCATAAATCAAAGTCTTTCAGACACCCTGACAGCAGCAGACAATAGTAGTGACGTCTGCGCAAATAAAAGACCCTCCGCGTTTCTCTCTCTTATTTTGAGATCGTTTGAGGCAGTTTTTGGAGCACGCAGCACAGTTTGCAGGGGCGATCGGTAATAATTCATTTTTATTGCCATTTTTAACACCAGGCGGAAGGCCAGTGTACATAACCTCTGTAAGAGGCGTTTTTATAGCGCATGGATAAGCCATTCATTTCAACTCTTTCTGGGTGTGCTTTTTTCAGTTTTTCTCAAAGGTTTTATCTTTACCGTGTTAGGTGATGAAATTAGGCCGACTAGCCAAGTTGTTGACCAAGTTGTTGGTCTACATTTTTATATTTTTGCTCCATCATCATTGTTATTATTATCAATATTATGAGATGTTATTTTTATTTTATTAGTAGTCGTTTTTGTAGTGGAGGTAGTAGTAGATATAATAATAATAATAATAATAATAACAAAAAAAGTGTTTGATCGTAGATTCGTTTTAAGCTGTGTAGCTTTACTGTTGTTACAAATTTCACTTTTGTTTATTCGTTTTAAACTAGTGACCATGGAAATGACCAAAACACTCAAAGGGTTGTACAAGACTATCCGGTAAGAGGCCTGTGAAATCCCTTGTACCAATATTTCGTATAGACGTGAATGCAGGCCTTCAGGCTCGAGTGTGGAATGGTCATTCAGCAAATCCTCCTTAACAAATCATCTGATTTTTTTTCCATCTCACACAGACAAATGTTCATGTCACTTCCAGCTTTCTTCAGCCTTCTCTCAGAGAGGCTCACTGAAGAGAAAGCGTTTCTGCGTCGGAGAAACATCTGTGGACTTGTCTCTCTCTCTCTCTCTCTCTCTATCTCTATCTCTCTCTCTCTCTCTCTCTCTCTCTCTCTCTCTCTGTGTGTGTGTGTGTGTGTGTGTGTGTGTGTGTGTGTGTGTGTGGGAGAGAACAGGATGTGCGAAGTTGGAGGAGGAGATGAGAAATCCTGCTCAACACCCAACAGCGCCATTTTGAATAAAGAAGGAGAAAAAAAATAGAATCTGTTCCTTCTCGCGGCCAGAGGGGGCGCAGACCCTCACTCCCCCTTATTCCCACCCTCCCTCCTCTCATCATTCACATCCATCGCCCCCCCCCCCTTTAAATTTTGTGGCCAGTCCAGAAATATTCCGCATTTGCAATAAAAAGTCTTATAACTCAATTTACCAATAAACGTGTTAAACAGGCCGATATGCATGCATTACTTCGATTCAAATAGAAAGGTACATTTAATGATCTGACGAAAATTATTTTACTGAAACACACATTACAATTAATATTTTCCCACCAGGGAACCGAGAAAACCATTAATAGTGCTGGTGGTCTGAGTCTTATTAAATTAACCTATGCTGTTATTACATTATCAAATTATCACCAGATAATGAAAATGTGACACTGTAGGATAGCGTGAACAAATATATATATATATATATATATATATATATATATATATATATATATATATATATATATATATATATATATATATTTTTTAATAGTTTTTATGCTCTAAGGCAGAACAGACCATACAGAGTTCCTCACATGAACAGTTTTGTTAGCCCACCTGATTAAGTGTTCTGTAGGCCTACTGGGTGAGTCAAAAGTCAGGAACCACTCAGATATGTCGTTACCATTATGTATCACAGCAATGGGAAATATGTCATAGGTACACATACTGGGCTGATACGTAACTGTAATCATGAGATCATCCCAGCGTTAAGCGTTTTGAAGATTTGAATGGTTCCTGACTTTCCACTCTGCAAAATTACTATACTGGCCTAACACTTGTCTTACCTGGCGCCTTCCTGGTTCCCGTTCTCTGAAACAGAGGAGGACATGTCCCATACGTGTGCTCCTCTGTAACCGTGCAGTGCAGATCCTCCACTTCCGCGCTCTGCCGTTTCATCAATCGTTTCAACGAGCAGAACCCAATAGGTACGCTGACGTCACAGTGATCGACAAGCGGTCGGAATTTACATAAGCCAGCTCTTTAACGACTAGCTGTCAGCGCAAGGCCACTCAAGCTCAAGACCCAACAAAGCCACCGGTCACTGGCTGACCCGGCTCACGTGACTGTCACTGCTCATTCATATCACCCTCGAGCGGGCCCCCTCCCCACCAAAAGTGCACTGATTGAAGGAGGCGGAGGGTTGGTGGTTCGACCGTGACTGTGCTGATAGAGCGTCTAAAGTGACAGCCTGAGATACCGAGAGCCGATCAGAGACGATGCCACAATGAGCACGTTCTTAGATTATTCAGTGATGAGTGGTGGGGACGGAGGTGGCGGGGGTGCGTGCTCTGTCAGAGCGTTCCATGCCGATCACGGAATTACAACTTTCCAGTCGTGCTCCGTCACGGTAAACAACTGCGCTGGGAACGAGCGCTTCTTGTCCGGTAGGGCATCACCGGACGCTGTTTCAAACCATCCAAATCAAGCCGGGTCGTACCAATCCTCCGGGACACTGTCCATCGCCTACGGTGCCCACCCAACTTACGGGACTCAAAGTTTTTGCGCCGGTTACAATCACTATGCCCTGAACCAAGACGCTGATTCGACTGCAGGCTTCCCTCAGTGCGGCCCACTAGTTTACTCTGGAAACATCGTGCAGCACCACCACCATCATCATCACCATCGCCATGGTTACAGCGGTAGCAACGCGCACTTACACGGGCAACTTCAGTACGCAGCAGCTACGTATGCTCATGGTCAGGACCAGGGGAATCTGACGTTTGTGGCGGGCTGCTCAAATCACCTTTCTCCTTTGCACGCCCACCACAACGCGTGCTGTTCGCCTCTCTCAGATGGCGCGTCCACGGCGCAGACGTTTGACTGGATGAAAGTTAAGAGGAATCCGCCCAAAACAGGTAACTGTGAGTGTATGTGTGTGTGTGTGTGTGTGTGTGGTTGGGGTGGGGTGGCGTGTCACACACAATTTAAAAAAGATGGTTCTCTAAGGGTTGTTTAGTAAAGGCAATGGTTCCGTTTGAAAGGGGTTCTATATAGAACCAAAAAGAATTCTGCTCTTATTATGATGTCAAGCTTGTAACAATAGAAGAACCAATTTTGGTGATATGCAAAATCATACACAGACCCGTATGCAACACATCTTCCATCAATCTGAAGAACCACTTCATCATGCAAAGAACCATTTAAGCGTGAAATGGTTCTATATGGAACTCATGGCTCTGAAAAAAACTATTATCTTTACTAAAGAACCCTTGAAGAACCATCTTTTTTAAGTGTGTAGAATTAGCGCTGGAATAAAACAACACTGTGCTGTAAACACAAAGTAAGTTTTCTTAAAATGTGGAGTTCATTGAACTTATAATAGTAAGTTAACATAAGTTTTACGTTCTATTGACTAATTGTTTCAATGAACTCAATTAACTTTTTAAGGCAACCAAATTACTAACTTTTTAAAGTCAAACTTTTTTTTTCTATATTGGGGAAATATCAGACTAGAAATGCAGGAAATACAAAGTAACGTGTTCTAAGAGCTGTTTGCTGGGGTGTGTGGAGATGCTGAATTGCTCTCTTTCCTTCTCTGTCCTCAGGTAAAGTAGGGGAGTACGGTTATGGTGGCCAGCCTAACACAGTCCGCACCAATTTTACCACAAAGCAGCTGACAGAGCTGGAGAAAGAGTTTCACTTTAACAAGTACTTGACGCGCGCCAGGCGCGTGGAGATAGCTGCTGCGCTTCAGCTGAACGAGACTCAGGTGAAAATCTGGTTTCAGAATCGTCGCATGAAGCAGAAGAAACGTGAAAAAGAAGGTCTGCTGCCCAAAAGCGCGTCTGAACCTGGGGACGGTCCGGAAAAGGCCGAAGATGCATCCGAAAAGTCTCTCTCCGCACCATCAACCCCATCTCCCGCCTCTTCCTCGGCTGACCACTACTCCTCGAGCTAAATGGCCTTGTCATTGTGTTCTGCTGGTGGGATGATAAGTACACCACCGTGACTCTGCCCACAAACTATGTAGCAGTTTACAGTGGGTGAACGTATGTAGCTGGACATGCCCACTGGTCACGACAATGCACTAGTTTTGAGTTTCGACTATTCGGCGTGTTGTGTTTCTGTAAAATGGTGTTATTAGTCTGGGAGATCCCAGCATTTTCATGCACAAAAGCAGCAAATTACATAGCTGGGATGAACTTACAGCCTACGCTACTGTCATAGCTCCTACCTCATGTAGTCTACCAAAGGATGAAAGTGCAATAGAGGTTATTGTCTGCTGAGAGCGAGAGAGAAAGAGTGAGAGACCTTAGACAAGTCTTGCTTGATAACGTATGCCTAAATAAGACAGGCTACCTCGTGTTATCGGCCTCCAGAGCTGTTTGTGGTGTAAAGATTGGCTGTTTTAGTGGATCACTTCGGCATGATACGTAACACTCAAGTAGCCACGTGAACCAGTCGTGCTGAGTTTTATCAGTCGAAGATAATGGCTTTAGCTCTATTCATTAATCGTGAATTGGAAAAAGAGTAAATCTCTTATCAGAAATACGGGTCAGTATCTGTGAAATAAACACATTTTTTAGTAACACAATAGTTTTATGGCTTTTTTGTACTTTTCCTAGAGGCGAAATGATTACCATCTGCAACAACATGCAACTTACACCAGTGTTTCCCAATTCTAGTACTGGTGACTCCACATTATGCACATTTTTGAGACCATCTAACACACCTGGTTCAACTCACTAACTAAGGAATAAACTTCTGATGTGGTGGATCAGGAGTGTTTGAGTAAGGGAAAAAATGCAGGGTTGTTCAGTTCCCGTTATGGAACACCTTAGTCCAGCACAGTGTGATGATTTCCCTGCCCAAAAACATCTGATTCAACTGGTCAGTTAATGAAAATTGGTGACCCCATATTAACCCTGATAGTAAGTTCAATGGCATCTGTTCAATCTTATAAGCCTTTAAAGCAAATCGTACTAACTTACAATACATTGAGCAACATTAACTAAGTATTTTTATTCCAAAATCTCAATTTCATGCAGGGATCTAATGATGGGCCTACGTTTTGGCAGGACCTTTAAAGGTTTCTTTAGTGCATTGATTTGCTTGTCAATACTCTCATCACCGCCGGGAACGCACTCCCTAACTCCAGTGGATGTATGCGTCCGCGCGCACTCTCCTCCCTGAGGAGGAGGCTCTATTGACATACTGTGTGCTTGTTTATCCGCGCGCACTGGAGAGAGATGTCGCCATCATTCGCGATGACAACCTTATCGAACTGCCGGTTTATAGAAGGGAACGCGAGGTCATAAAGGAAAAATGACGCAGCATCGATTAAATCATCTCCCATTTGATCGTCGTTTGATCCCTTCAGTGCTGGTGACATGCCTTCCCTTCAGTTCAGACGTAGAGAATATTTAGACAGAACTGAAGGGTAGGTCAGTTAACATCTGATTATAGTCAGTATAAGGTCTCAGCTCTTGGTTTGCTCCACCGGAGAACATGCCCTGCCCTGTGGCACGTACACCCTTCCAAATAAAGATGCCAAAAAGTGTTCTTCGGAGTAATTCCAATTATGCCATAGAAGAACCAGTTTGACACCTAATTTTTATTCTTTAAAGATGTATGACTTTCTATAGCCACTCCCAGTTTCCACAATAATTACGTACAAGGCAGTAACCACATATATGTATATTTTAAGGGCGTACAGTGCTTATCAAGAAGCTTATACTGTTGTTTGGGTATGAGTGCTTATTGATCATCTTTCAGACTTCCTTAAAATATGATAAACTGTAGCATAACAGAGGAAGAGATCAAACGATTATTGGTGCCTTTCCGGCAGCACTGCAACCTACAGCTGGACGTTTCAGTTCTTATTTTTGGACGAAACTAAAAGCATCTATAGTTTCTATAATCCACACTTGTCATTTCGTGATACAGCTTGTTCTTGGAGTTCATGGTGATCTTCATCCGTAAGACTGAGATAAGATAGAGACGTCAGTCAATATTGTTTTCTAGGAACCTGAGCTGAACGGTTTTCTAGGAGCCAACCAGCATCTGTTTGGTTGCAAAAGTATTTTTTTTACTTCAGAATGGAGGCAACCATAGAGAGAGTCTAGAAGGCAGGTGTGATATGTTTCGTGACATGAATTCCTTTTACGCCTGAACAAGCTATCTGCCTGAGCCTCGATCACAAGTCACATGTTAGAAGTCATTGCAGATATAAAGGTTTCCGAGAGCACTCAGTTTGCTCATATCACACATACACACTCATCTAGCCTACTTCTTCCTTACTTGTTTGAGCCCAGAAGTTCACGCCGTTTTAAAATGCTTTAATTCCTCGTGTGCACAGAGCGCGCCATGCACGCCATAAAAGGCGCTCTGAGAGTGAAATAGGGCCTTGATTGATGATCATCGTTCACCTTTACCTTGAATGCACCTGCGTAAGAGGGTAGTTTGAGCCTCTACTTGGAGCCGGAATGTCCCGAGACTGTGAGCTTAGAGCTGCTGCCTCGCGTATTGTGTCTGTAAGTGTTAATATTCTGTTGTTACGTGTCTTATTTGTTATTTCTTAAATTAAAATTCATAAAAAAAACAGAACTTGGTGAAAACTTTGAATTAATTCGTGAAACTTCCTGCAATCTACCTGTAAGAGATAATGGACTATTTTTAAGGGGCGAATTTTTCACTAAACAGTTTATGAAAACTTTTTTTTGTTATTATTGACAGCAAAATATAAATTCATGCCAAAATCACAATTTATCGCTCATTTATTTTTTATGGTTATTGTGTGTAGAACATGTAGATGAGATCGGTGATGGTGAATGGGATGAGAAAGGGGACGTTTCAGTATGCCAAAAAAAATAAAATAAATAAAGTTCGTCTTTGCATGGATCGCCGCTAAGCGCAAAGCAGAGGATAGGAGCATTTAAACATGCTAGATCAATCTAAACAGCAAAAATGTAATTCGTGGCACCGCTGGGGATTTAGACTGGGGCGTTAAACTCACCTTTTCACGATTTTAATCACTGGACACGATCAGCCCGTGACTCTGAAATCATCAGCGCGATTTCTCCATTAACCACATTAATAATCATGAAACAAAAACATGGCGTTTATAATGCAATGAGGCATTAAAACTTCAAGTGATTTAATACGCGCTCAGGCTACATGGAAGATTTTAAATAGGTTATCTGGGTAGTTACAGGCTGTCCTGTCTGAATGGACAAAAGGACCATACGTGAATAAGGACACAGAAATTACCATATAGAAAAAAGTACTAAAACAACCACTTTATTATTATTATTATTATTATTATTATTATTATTGAAGGAGAAAAATATCCATACAAATGAGTGATAATTAAAAGATTTTCACAAATATGTATTGTAATAGAATTGTAATAATTGTACAAAATAGAAATTAACATGGAAAAAAATATATCAATACAAAATGTCTTATAAACGAAACTTATTCTGCAGTCAAAACTACAGGCTACACGGCTTCTCTTTAACTTGAAAATGGTTATTATTTTAAATCTGTCACAATCAGTTACGGTATTATTATTATTATTATTATTATTATATTTCAACAGAGATTAAAATAAGCGTTTTTCTTTTACATCAGTTTCATTCAAATCTTTAGATTACACCGCAGTGGCCAAGCTGGCGTTTTTCCACTGAAATGATTAATAAAATTCATAACGTATAAGTGAAGGGGAGGCAGTGCTTCTGTAGACTGTTGCAGAGCTTCGTCCAGCAGGTTAAGGGACATGTGTCTGCATCAGAAACAGAGCTGACCTCAGAGAACACACTGCAGGTCAGCGCGCGGTCAGTGCGTCATGCGGTGTGTTGCGGCAGCAGCTGAAACTAAAACACTGTTTTCAGTCCGAGTCGAGAGCAAACATGGCGTTTCTATGGCGACACTGTCCGACAGACCTGCTTACTCGCCTGTTTCAAAGAATCCCGCAAAAACAGTTTACAGGTTTCACCTCTCTGTTCGAGTCCCGCCGAGTGATTGAAAAGAAACAGAACCTATTTAGACGATTTATAAACATGAGCTGATAACAAATGTTTGATTTTAACTGTTTCAAGCAAAATGAAAAACGAAGTAGAATGATCACATCAAGAAATAACTATCATGTAAAGCCTTTTATGTGTATAAAAAATAGGTCCATATATTTTTTAGTATACTATTAGGTCAAGTTTATGCTGCTGGGGGAAAAGCTGTAGAGAGTGGTGTGAAGAAGGCTGTGAGCAGCACGCCTGAATGTCCTTTTTTAAAAACATCAGAGCTTCTCCTGCACTAGAAACCATAAGTTAAGGTATATTCAAACTATTAGAGGTAACTTGTTGCCTAAAATAAATTAAGTTTTTTAAAGTTGAAATTAAGCATGGGGTTAAATGCATTTAAACTTTTAAGTTTGATAAACATCACACAAACTATACTGTTCCAGAAACTTGAACTCTTCAGTTTAATTAACTACATCCAAAAAGAGTTTATATTTTCATGAGGAGTTTTCAGTTACGCACTCTAGTGACAGCTTTGAGAAAAACTACTGAGTTGGCAGTAACTTAAGTTGTTTTATCACAACCGAACTGACACAACAGGGACACTAAATACACTCAAGATTTCTAAAACATGTGAAGTGCATTCAAACTTAACCCAAATAATGTGAATTTGTTGTATGTTTAAAAACATCTGAAGGAAAATAAGCACTAATAAACCAAATCAACTAATTAGCAATTTTGGGTAAATCCACCCTGCACTCTCTTGTTGCTTGTCTTATTGATTGTTATACTCACTAAAATAAATGCAGTTGAATATTCAAACAGGCAGTACAAACAACTTGGATTAAGTGATAGCAACTATTTGCAAGAAAAAGAGCAATAATAATTGAATTGTTAAAGTACAAATAATATCAGAGCTTTGAGTTGGTCTTACTTGAGTGTGAAAGAAATGCCAGTCTGAATGAGAAGCTCCTGGGTGTTTAAAATCTCTGTGTTTATACCAATCTTTCTATACTTGTGAGGGCCACATGACCTCATAATAACATAAAATGCACTGAGCTTCAACCATTTTACATTAACTCAAAGATACACACTCTCAGAAATAAAGGTCTGAAACTGTCACTGGGGCCATACCCATCTCGCCACTGGGGTGGAACCCTCAAGGGTACATCTCAGTACCTTTAGTCAGGGAACATAGTTGTACCATAATCCACTGAAATTATATTTTCTAACTTGTATTGACTCCACACACCCTGTCTCATCTCCAGGCTTGTACCTTTTAACATTAGTTGTACCTTGATGAATGAAAAATGTACCTGCACATCACATTTATTTCTAACAGTGCAGTTGTGATGTTTGTTTGTTTGATTATTGCTTTGTTTTTCTTTTTTTCTATAATGTTGACCAATCAGTCACTTGAAATTACAGCCATTGAATATAACATTCCCTCGCTGCAGATTATTAGGTTGTTAGCAAACTGCTATATCCATCAGGTAAAGTTTACATTTAGTTAAGTAGCCAAGTGGATGACTTAAGTTCAGTTACAAACTTTGCAAAACAGACATAGCACATGATCCACTATTTAAAAATGTAGTTTAAATTAGATTAGCTGGCTAATTAGATATATAGCTAGCTAATGTTAGCCACTGCTAACAAAGTCCATGTTTCATTCAGAACAAACTAAGCTGATCACTTAAATACTTGTGAGGACCACATGTCCATTTCAGTGGCACTCATTTATAATATAGTAATTTTTACTTATAAATACATAAATGTTGATAGTATTAAAATTAAAAGCAGCTGAATACATAATGTTTGAGCTGTAAATTGATATATGCTAGCTGCAGATTAGTAATCTAGCATATCGACTAGTCATGTTAATAATGTAGTTAATAAACATTTACTTACCTACCTAGCAAATTTTGTTAAATGTTCATGTCATCAACTACATAAGTAGATAATGTTAGGAAAGAAACTATACTGAACTATTTTTTTGAAAATCTAGTTAATTATATAAAAGAACATCCATGTAAAAACATTAGCTTCTACTAATAAAGTGTTTTGATTAGTTCTAACACTAAGTTACTGAGTCTGACTGTCAGGGTATTCCATACTGTTGTGACAAGACTAAACTATTAACAAAGCAAAGAGTTACATAGACCCATAGGTCTCAGAATATAAAGTTCATAATATGAACATTTTATCTACAAACTGTGTTGTGACAAGCTCACTTGCTGTTCTTGAGTAACAGAGAGATCTTCAGTGCTGACATATGGCTTTCCAACACATTGCATTAAAAACAGAGTGTTGCATGCCACACACTTATTTGCAATAATAAAAAATACCATTATTCAGCTAACTTAG